TGTGACATTGTTTCCTCTCAAAAGATATTTACTCAGTCTTTATATAACGATCAAATATCAATAAAGAAGGAACTAAATGCTGACATTGACAATATGTTTTTCTTGGCATCCTGTGTAATATGTTTCTCAAGCGTTTCCATGAAACACAAGTCTTGACAGTGTTTGTGGAGCTGTGACAGTGCAGCATCTGAAATGTCTCTGGGCCTGAGGATTAGAGCTTCAACATTGAGTGAATAGTCGTGCATATGGCTCTCTGTTTAATTCACTAAAATTGAGAAAAATCATAGGCTCAAGGATGTATCACATTTCATTAAGTGAAATAACATTTTCAGCAAAAGGGCTTCTTGCACAATTCTGGAAGGACCCCAAGAAGTGTCAGACTGTCGTTTTAACAAACTTTTCACTTCACTGCCATTTACCGGCCTGGTCTTTGATGGAACATTAATTCTTTCTTAAACCAAAGCTAGAGTAGACCAAAACTGAGCCCATGACAGACATGTCATGTGCCTTTATTGCTTTTTGCGATTGCATTTCAATTTATTATATTTCATGCACACAAAAGTTTGCTCCGGACTGCGCAAATATTAAACGGAATAGAAAATACCGATTGCCCAGCCCTACACCTCTAACAAATATTGTTTAGTGCTTTGTAAGTAGAGAAATGGTATAACTTGAATCAGGAAGATGAGATTGGTCTATATTGGGAAATCAATGAGATAATTATTTTTCTCAGATGACTCATCCTCTGCATCACAACATGTTATCTTTCCTCCATGCTTATCTGTGTGTGCCGTCTCACTCACCTCAAAAAGGCCAAACATGCATTCATATGAAAATTGGTGATAAAACCAGAAACTATACATTAGGTCCATTTGAGGTTTCAGGAGAATATGACCTTTTTTCAAAACAGTCTTTGTCACCCGGAGCAATCCAATCATTTATCTGTTAGAGACTTGAGTTTCATCATAATGCACATTCGTGGGAGTTCCCAATTATGAAATAATGAAATAAATAACCATTATGTAAAAGTTTGGTATGGGAATATATTGGAAAGTCTGTATGTGCTCTGGTGCATCTAAAATGTAATATTACATATGATATGGCTACAAGTTCGAAATAAATAAATATAATGTGTAATATTGTAAACAATCCAGAACATTCATCCAAAAAAACACAGCCTGGTGCTCCCACTGCCAATGAAAATATTTGAGTTGTAATTACAATTAAAATGAAGGACTCACAATACCAGAATCTAATATGATTATCCAGATACCAAAAATAGTTTGTCAGGTATGTGTTCTAGGACAGGGGTTCCCAAAGTTTTTAGTCCGCAACCCCCGCGCTCAACAGCCCATGCTCAACATGAAATGAGCAAGTATTTCCTTGATTCGGAGTAACGCTTTGTACACACATCACACGTCATGTGAAACGTAGAGAGACTCGCGCCCATGTTATCAGCGAGGACCATCCCCAAAACCCGAGGAGACGAGCATAGTGGCGCTTAGCGTCGCGTACAGAGTTGCACTCGCTCAAAATAAGAGCCTTGCGCATTTTTACTCACGTAGTCACGCTAGTGACGGGCTTGTTGGGCTCCCCCTTTAGCAGAGGTGGTGGGCATTTCTTGCGGCTCGCCGTTACTGTTCTCAGACTGCGGTAAAGAGGTCCGGCTTTTCGGAGTCAGCGGTAAAGAGGACTGCACATTAAAAGCGGTTGGCCGCATTATGCTCTTACTTACGGTGACATTGGAAAGAAGCCACAGGGATGAGCCGCCACAATGCACTTTAAAAAAACAATTTAAACAAAAAAACCTGGAAAATACTTTCACTGCACACTCGTTCACTGTGATACTTAAAAATTTTTAAAAAATGTGATCAATATTGCACACCTTGACCCCTATTTTCATGGAATTTCCACAGTAGAAGTGAATGTCACTTTGCACAATAGTAAAGGGCATCACAGTGAACAAGTGTGCAGTGAAAGTATTTTCTAGGCGTTTTTAATCTATTTTTTAAATAATTTTAAAAAGTGCATTGTGGTGGCTCATCCCCGCGGCTTCTCTTTCCAATATTACCGTAATTAGCAGCGTAAAGTGGCCACCCGCTTTTAATGTGCGGACCTCTTTACCGCCGACTCCGAAAAGGCGAGCCTCTTTACCGCCGTGTTCTCCGTTGCCCTCTCTCCCTCCGCCGTCTTCGCACCATCAGCCTGACCTCTGGCACATCTGACTTTTCTCCCCCTCCGCTTTTTTCTGTTGTGGATATTATTCCCGTTTCATTTTAAAGCAGGTATTATTTGTTTGTAGCCCCAAACACATCAGCAGGACACGGTTTGTCGCTGCATGATGTAAGCAACGTAACTTGATTTTGATTAACGCCGGACTGGGACAAAATTACATATGTAATTAAAATATATATTTTTCAGACTCTTCTCCAAACACAATTTAACAAGTGGTCCTTTTGAATCAAATCAAACGCAAAATAAATATTTATGGGCTAAATATATTTTATTTATTTTTCTGAAATCATCCCGTGACCCTCCGGGGGGTCAGGACCCCCACTTTGGGAACCACTGCTGTAGGATGCTGGTGAAGCCCACATCCAGATTTCAATTCATGTAATACTGGCTGTGAAATTAAAATGTTATTTCACACAAACTTGTATAGTTTTACTAACACCTATTGTGACTTTACTTAATACTAAATTAGAAATAATTTAAAAAATGTGACAACAGATGAGATTTTATTAATAAAAAATGAATCCCTTGATTCAAATTAGATGGAGACAGTCTATTAATTTGTGAGAGCTCAAAGCTTCAGAAGGTTCCAGAGATGCCTTTATTAAAACCGCTTCATTAGCTTCCCTGCTGTCTGTAGTTTTTCATCTTGGATTCATTTCATCGCGTTGGTCAAACAATAGTCAGCCTTCCCTTGAGCAAAACAAGTCTGGAGCAACTCAGACTCAGCCAGCCCCAACCACACACACTCCCTCTGGTCAGATTGTGAAATTAAGAACCAAGAGGTGTAACCACTTCGTCTGGCCTCCTGACTGCCCACAGCATATACATGGTTAAGGGATTACAGTAAGAGGAATTACTCATTAGTCAGCCACATTTTCTTCACAAACAGCATTACAAACAGTAGTAATCATCTGTGGAGCAATTATTAGAAATGCTGAGGCCAGCACCAAAGAATAGCATAAACACTGGTTTATAATTTGATAAAGAAATTTAAGCATATCCCTGCTCAGAAAGGTCACATTTTATTGTTTTATATTTACTACGACGGGACAATCAGGTTCCACTTTAAATGCCAAAGTTGAAGGATAATGTTAATTGGTAGAAAATTGTCAAAATACTACATTTCAATTTTGTAAAGTTTAACCCCTGAACAATAAACACATGGGGCTATATGATTGTACACAAGTTATTCTGCAAGAAATGTCAAATGTTGTCCTTTTTATGATCATTTTAGTATCTTCAATCTAGTATCAAACCACTGCACTCAATTGAGAACAAACAATTCAATATCAATTTTACCTAAATATTGATAAACAGCTCCTCTCTTGCGCAATTAAACAGTTTATGATCGGAACTCATCATGTGATACTTTCTTGATTATTTATCCAATCGAAAAGGACAAGTTTGCATCATCGCTGGTTTAAGTCATTAGAGTTACCATCCAAATGTTTGTAACCACTCTCTCTTTACGAGACACGTACAGATGCATGTGAAGTTCAGTTCCACGCATCATTCTGTATGTATAAAAAAATAGGTCTCATTCACCAATGTCTTAAGAATTTTCTTAAATTTCTTCTCAAGTCGTTCTTAAGTAGATTTCTAAGAGCCTACGTCAGATTCATCAACGCGCACTTCAGCCGCTGAATTGTTCGCAGCTGTTCTTAGATTGATGAATGCGAACTCCTCATAAGTAGAGCACACGTTCCAGGTGAGTCATTAGCATTGGTACTTTAGCATAGGTACCGCCCATTAATGCCCTTAAAAGGGACTGCAGGGCCGTGTGCAGACGTCAAGGAAACTGCAACATGCTTAAAGCAAAGAGTTACACGGAGCAAAAGAGTCACCCTTTTTCTTTTGCCAGACTGAGATTAAATACAATACAATTTTGACTTTAAAGTCGAAATATTATGAACATATGAAAATTAATCTAAAAATATTAGATTAATCTCAACATGTTATGAAATGAATTAAAAAATATAATGCATTAATTTAAATATTAATCTCAAAATATTTTGGACCCTGGGAGGAGATCCAGCGCAGACTAGCCATGGATCTATAATAATAACGAGGGACCAGCGCTGAGACCAATGCAGACCCGAGAAGACACCAGACTGGAGAGACCAGCGCGAACACGAGGAGAGACCAGCGCGGACCCGTAATAGATCCACCGGAGAGACCAGCACAGAGACTCAGCACAAACCCCGCAACCTCCTGCAGCAGCAGTATATATGCCATTGTTCGGTGGCCCGTGCATGGAGAAATTCCCCCTTTAAATAGGATGGGGTCACTAAAAGACGGCATGATTTCCAATGCATTTGATAAAGCGTTGGCACATTTAAAAATGTAATTAAAAATAGGCTAAATTACTATAAACATTTAAATGAATAAATACATACATCAATATGACATATCACTGTAATGTTGTGTTTTATTATACTTCACCAGCGTGTGAACATATCGGCACTGAATGTGCTTAAGAGTGCTCCTGAGCACTCGTAGGATTTGTTCTTACCTCAGAGAAATTCTGGATACGAGAAAAAAAATCATGAATGCCACAATCTTTGTAAAATCCTCGTAAGTAGGATTTACGCACAAATTTGTTCTTAAGAACGGTTCGTGAATGAGGCCCACTGTTTCTTAGCAAAGAACACTGTCTGCCTCCAATAAAGAAAAGTCTCTACAACACATGCAAAGTTTCAAAGCTTGTAATTTGCATACAAGAAAAGCACTTGTCCCATCGAGGGAATCTACCACTTTTTACTTACATGACCGTGGTTGATGAATCCGTATTCTGAGGCAATACGATCGGCTTCCTCGGGACCTCCGGGTACGTGAACAGCCCACTGGTTGGTATAGACCTGCTGCCCCAGGACAGGCGACAGCCCACAGACGAGAAGGACCAGCAAAGGCCCCAGGATCATCTGTAGAAGGCCCGCAGGAGCCCAGCCTAGTCTCATGGTTCCACCAGGAGTCTGACAGGTCAGCCTCCACACAAGAGACCAGGATGGACCGTCACAGCTCACCTAAAACGAAGAAACAAATTGCTATATTTTAGGAATAGCTCCAGTAGTATGGCAATAACAGCAAAAAATATCATTATGATTATTATTATTATTAATTAGGGATCCAAGGAAACATAGCAGTCATTTAATAACTGGACATGCCTAATGCAGCATGTGCGTCTCGGGATGTACGCACGGACTGCGCGGTAGAGACACACGAACTGCGCGTTTTCATGCTCCCGTGACCTTATGCAACTGCTTTGAGCATGTTCGCCGATGCGGAAGTACCGTTTAATAATAAAATAAATGTATGGCGCACCTCCGTGAACACATACTACTGTTACATAAAGTCTGTGGAAGGTCTCTGGACACAGAGACGCTGCAAAGCTGCATTATTGGAGAAGAACATTACACAAAACGCCGCTAGCTTAACTCCGTTAGCATCAAAGTCCGCCCGCTACTTCCGCCACTTCCGGCGGGCGCCACCGCAGGCCAGGACTTCTGGTCTGAAAAATAGAGAATGTGCGTCTGGTGCGCGTTGCGTCAACATTCCAGTGTCAGCGGTGTGAACGCACCTTAAGCGCCTTGACATTTGACGTGTCACCGTCTTTGTCGGGAATCTTTATTGCATTGAATGAGGAATAAAAAATAATGAAGGAAATAAAAATTGCTAAGCGCTAGATTAAGTTCAAACAGTGAGCAAAGTTAGTGGGCATCAACATTACTAATGTATCACTAAATGTATGCAATTGCATCTTTATTTCTAAGTAATCTTTATTTATATACCGCCTTTCACGAACCAGAGTCACAAAGCGGTTTACAATTGTTATTTTTGGGCATTTGTCCTCTCATTCCACACAGAGATGGGAGCGGTCATAGGACTAATGTTTTTTCCTTTTTTTTTATCAAATAACAGATCAATGGATGAAAACTTAGTGTAGCTTTTCTTCAATATGACTGCTCACATGATGGTCACATCATAGAATGTCAAGTGCCTAACTACTTAACTACCATGTAAAACACGTTGGCTGAGTGGATAGCATTCTTGCTTCTCAGCAAGAAGGTTTTGGCCTTTCTGAGTGGAGATTGCATGTTCTCCCCATGCCTGCGTAGGTCTCCTCCGAGTACTCTGGTTTCCCCTACCACTAAAAACATATGCAATAGTTCAGGGAGAATGAGTGTGTGTTTGCGAGTGTGTATGTGAGACAACGTATGCAAAATAGCCCATGGCTACAATCCGGAGTGTTGAGTTCATTAACATGTACTGTCCCAGCAAAAATAAACAATTAAAAAATAAAAATGAAAATGGGTTTGTAGCAGTGGAATAAGCGTGACTTCATATAGAACTTGCATATTTCATTCAACTTGAGATACAATCAACGCTTTCTTGTTAACAGTGCACCATGTAAAACTGTTCCAAACCAGAGGGAGAAGTACCAGCAATTACTGATAATCCCAGGGAAAGGACAAGTGAGTTGTCAAGGCCAGCACTCATGTCATGCGGTTAGACAGACGATGGTCAGACGTGTGTTTAAAACCCAGAGGGTCAGGGGCTGAACTACAGGATCTGCGGAGGAGGAGAGGAGTCACTGTAAAGCAGCCTCCTCCACTTCCTCTGGTGGAAACAAACAAAGCCATAAGATATTTTCACTTAACAGTGAAAATTTAAAAGTCAATTGAGTTAATTTAATTGGGCGTTTTTACATTTTAAAATAAAAGTTGAGCAACTCCAGTAGAACTGTTTTAAAAGACAACTTCCATGCATTTGCTTTTGTTGTAATATACAGTCAGAAAAAGACTTCCTTCCTTCCACATAAAAGATAAGCGATTTTGTTAACTTAGCCATAGCACTCCAAACCACTCCCCTCGCTTCTCCACCAAACCAAACATCCAGCATTTCTCTTTTCTTTGTACAGGGAGAGTGGATGGCAAATGTGAAATTGGCATTTTCTGTTAAGCCATTTTAGGTTGTAAAAAATCCAATAACTCCAGTGTGCGCACTCACGAGAAGCAGGAAGAGCGTGAAGGAGGGCAGACGCATCCCATTGGTTCGTTGGGGATGAACTAATCCCATTGGTTTATTTTTATCGGTCCACTCCAAAATATTTTTAGTAATTTTTGGAGACTATAGGCATCTGGTCAATTCCATTACTATTTGAAAACACATGACAACTTGACTTTAGGGTTTAGGGACGTTTTCCAACAATATTTTTAAAAAGCCTCTGAAAAAAAGGGTTAGGGTTACTAAAAACGCATTAACCAGAGTATAACTTAATGGTTAATACAAGTACAAGAAAGACCCTCAACTGTCCTAATGTTATGCCTGTTAAGCTTTTTCAACACAAACTGGGAACTCAGCTTGAATTCAGAGCCTAAAAACCTTCCCAACTTTAATTATACGTTTACTGTTCAATTCTGTGGCAACTGAAAATGTGAGAACATTAATTCCTATCATTAACAATGCAAATAAACATCAATTAGCTAAGTCTTTTTTTTTTTTTTTTTTTTACGTCAGCAAAAACTTCCAAAATGCCCCAAAAATGGTATAGACCTCATAAATACAATTGACTTTTGAATGTGACCAAGTGACGTTCTCTAACATAAAAGCACCAAAACACCCAATGCATGAATTTACTTCACAGCGCAGAGAAGCTGTGGCCATGGTATGAGTGGACGTGTCCTCTGTACATGAGATAAGTTCAACCAAAAGAGGAAACAGTAATCATTGTCATCATTAAACGCAATTGCATTATTACAGCACCCATAAGAGTATACCCAACAAGAGACCATGTACATTATCATTTTGTTCCTACTTGAATAGGAAAACCACATTTCAAACACATTTCAAATCAACTGCGCTCATATTGTTGAGTATATCTTCAATGCTGAGTGACGCTTGCATTCAGAACTTGTAATAAGAGCCATGCATTAGCCACAACTCATCTCAGACAAAAAGTAAAGACAGGCACTAATATGTTACCACTTTGATGTAGCTCCATCACCTACATAGAACATCAAACCCTTTAGTATGAAGTCTTATGTCAACACGCTTTTATGGTGAGGTGGCAATGATAATTTTAAGTGGCACTTTCATTTCCGCAAACATGACATGGACATTTGAACACTGTAATTGTTATGATTGTCTATTTTTATGTTCAGCAAAAGTAAACCATGAAACACAAGTAAAACCACTTTAGACACCGGGAAATATATGTGCATTTGTGATTTTACTACTTATATAAAAGTAGCAGGATATTTCTTATTTTGAAAGTGCTTTAGTTGTTTTGCATTGGTTCAAGTGAGCCAGACACATTAATGTGAATGGTTTGAGAGGTTCAACAGTTGTAGATCTGATCTGATTCAGGATTTACTTTTTTCGATGACCAAAATTGGAAACATAACAAAATGTGAAAAGCGAAGATTAAATGTACCCACCAAGAGGAGCGGCTATTTTAAAACATACCCTAGAAAGAGGATCCTCAATCTCTTGTTATAAGTAGGTTGCATTTAACGCTGCAGGGACATGGCATTGTATTTGCCTGTGTCTACTTTAACACAAGTCAAAGTCCAGAGAAATATCCTGGTTGCCCGTGTAGAAGCTGTGCCTTGACAACAATGAAGTTAAAGTAATCTTGGTTTAGAACAGCTCAGCGCATTTAGACCGAGATTAGCTGTAGTCGTGCGTAAAAGTTGGTTACCCGAAATAAACAAATAGAAAAACAGAAAGCCTGGTGATTCGTGTATGCATAGTGTAGGAGGATTGTTCTGGGACTCACCTCAGATTAAACAGCGCGTAGTTGGGTATGGCACTAAAATCTGAGACGACGGGACTTCTCAGTTTGACAAATGCGTCTGAAATTGTGGCGATTAACACATAGTTGACGCCGCCTCCAATTGACTCCAGCCTTGTCACAGGTGCCACCCCCTTTTTTTCCCATCACAAACCCAAATATCTACTGCCCTCGTCCATTACAAGCCTTTGGAATGTATCGCGTATTCATTAGCGAAACCCCAAAACAAGGGAAGCAGGCAAAGCGCAATGGACGTCAAGGCGCACTGTGAGAGGAACAGCATAAAAAGAATGAAATCTGCTTTAAAATGTGGTTGATAAAAGGTTAGGAAATCACAAACAGAGCCTCTAAATCTCTCCTGACAGGACCCCGGTGGTACTAGGGGCAAATACAAGCGGGCAAAGTCAGCAGTAGCCACGCACCCAAACAACAAGAAGTAGTCACACACATTCACACCAGGGCGCAGGGAGAAACTTGCTCTCTGGATCAACTTACCCGCTTGGATTCACATCATGGGCAGCCTGGCGTGTTTCGCGGGCATACGGTCGACTTCAGACACGATCACGATAACGCAAAACGGCTGAAAAATTGATAGGAACGAATTGTTGGTTATAAATAGTCATGATACCTCTCGCTGGCGTGCGCCGCTGAGTGGTCTTTACGAGCCCCAGGAAATGCGTCACGCTCCTGGACAAAGCTCCCAGCTGCACTGTTACACTGACATCTGCTGGACGCGATCGGATTACTACATCTGACTACATTCTTTACATTTCATTCAAGTCAAATCCCCACTCACCAATTGCATTTAAATCACATGTGGTTTTCTGAGGTCATGAGTGTGTTCACCCTTTTCCACGGTTTCTTGTCTTTTAGCAACACTCCACCCCACAGGACACCCCAAAAGACTACGTAATCACCATAAAAACGAAAAATAAGTTCAAATTGAATTTCCGTATAAAAAAGTATATTGGCATGTTTTGAGTACCCCCCCTCCCGCACTGCCCATATGGTTACGGTTGATTTGTTTAATCTCTTCATTATTTTCATTTGCGTTGTGTTTTCTTTGTTTATAGTTTACATATATGTATCATATTGAATTTCGCAAAATATTTTTATGTGAATTGAAATGAATAAAAACTGTTAAAAAACAAAAAGTTGCAGCCCAAAATTAAATAGTTGAACAAGGTAAATCTCATGTTAAATCTGTTGACACATGGCACTTTTCTGTTTTCTGTCTTTCATCATTTTAACAAATGCATTTGGGCAAATAAGCTGACCACAATACAGACACAAATAATGAATCAAAAATCTTTATTTGCTGTACATTTATAATCCCACCAACAATACGGGGCCATGTTCATAATTGATACACATTTCGCAATAAAAGGCACTGGGCCAGTAAGCAGAGAATAAAGCGGTTCATGTTTACAGCAGAGGGAGCAGAGTTCCTTCCTGTGAAACACAATAGGTCATTATTCTTGCATAGACGCCACTTTCTTGACATAAATCAGTATCTGCACCTCTCTGTTCAAGCAAAATGTCTCCTTCATATCGACTTAGGCCCAGTGCATGTCTTTGCTCAGGATCCAGCTCTTCCCACTGCTCCTCAGTCACTGCCCACGCCTGCTCTGTGCTGAGCCAGGACAACTGCACTGCACTGAACACCACCTGCACCATCCAAGAGCAAATGCAATTGCAAACAAATCAAGCTAATTACTATAAAAACATTGATCTGACTCAAAGCAGACTGAAACTCACAGAGAACTTCTGTGGAGACATGAGGCGAAGCGCTTCAGCAGTGATTCCCTGAAACTGCTCTTCCACTAAAGCGGACAGCACCATGTCCTCAAGGCCCACTGGGGAGAGAATATGAGAGCCACAACTTCTATAAGTGAACAATTAATGTTTCTCATATCAAACCAGAAAGAAACTTCTCCCTGTTCCTCTCATGTCTGTGCCTGCAGGGAAAGCTTCAAATTGTGTCCATCCATCCAGTAGAGAGTGTTATTGTACCTTTCTCAGTTGTTTAGAGAACAACTTGGTAAAAAGTTCACACAGACAACTTTGTATCTACAGAGACCTAATGTTTTCAGTACCTGCCAATGTCCCAATCTCTGTGAACACCTCTGAACCCCATGTGCTGACTGGACCAAAGGCCTGTGGCCTTGACAAGCAACCAGTCAGTGCTTCCATCTGGTGCTCGGTGCAGGGTAAAGACAGCTCTCGCAGAAAGATCACCGCCATGCTGTAATTTGAAGTAACATCAGGATTAACTGTTTTGTTCCATATTAAAAATACTGACTGCAACAACAGCAATGTTCAGTCCTTTTTAGTTTTTCTTAAACACCCCCCTAAAGAGCTTACTTTGTTTAAAGCTGGGTTTAAAAAATATTTGAAAACTACCTATGTAAGAAACTAATATCCTTCTCACATTCATTAATTTTTGTTCTTAAGATCTGCTTTTTCAGATAGAAGTTAATGATTGGAACACTCCCCCAATAAATTGTCAGCCCAAAGCATCCAGTAATAACATTCAGGGCTCTATCTTATAAGTGTGCAATACAACACATTGTAAAACATGTTGTGGTCAGATTTGTTCATAGAACTTCACTTTCACAAGACCCTCTCACAAGACCCACAAATAAAATGTTCTTTATGAAAAAATGTAGGTATTCCAGCATTGATAGACTCACCTGAGGTTGAAAGGGCTCAGTCTTTTTATTTCTGCAGGATACAGGCCACAGATGAGATGACCAAATGTTGCCAAATCTACAACTGTTAAATGTTCTATTTTCTGTTTTTTCTTGCGCATCACACTTAGTATTACAGCCCTCATCTGCAGGTTACAAAGGAGACTCAGATCATAAATCCATCTACAAGTAGGACATTCAATGATCAATCCTACTTTTTTATTACTCCATTCATTGAGTGTTCCCAGATGAGCCAGCAGGCCTTGGTCTGACAGATCTGTGTCCTGCAGCTCTCTCTCACTCATTTCGGTCACAATGGAGCCCAGAGACAGAACCTGGTCTTTGCGCAGCATTCGCACTGGACTGAAAGACTGCAAGACAGGATATGAATAATTTCAGAATAATAACTTTCATTAATTGTTTTCATATGTATCATTAAATGACATAGATAACAAAAAATAATGTATAGGATGTGCCCTTTTGATTCCAACCTTTCTCAGTTTTTTCCAAAGTGTGCGGCGTTGCTCGTAATTGAGAGAAGAGTCTTGTCCAAAAACCTCAACGCAGTGTTTCAGATTCTCCTGAGACATTCGGTTCAGCTGCAGTGTGGTCCATGCCGAAGGGACGGTCCCTTTGATATCGGCACAGCTCGGGACCGGCACTAAAGTCAAAAGACAACTTTTGCAGCAAAAAGTGCAGACTATCGAATGATATGATTAAAAGCGAGCATTGACCTTTAGCCCTTCTGTTGCGTGGCTTTATAATGCCCCGGAGGAGACTCTCAGTTCTCTTCCTCTGGCTCTTCTGGTCCGTACACTGCACCAGACACATGCGCCCGATTGCACTGTCCTCCCACAGCTCCTGACCCACCAGCACCTGCTCCACGGCGTCTTTAGTCAACACTGTCTGCTCAAAGACAGCCGCATCAAGACAAAACAATCTGACTAAATCAAAAGTGAGATCACCTTAAAGTTTCCTACCAATGGAATTCTGTTGATCTGCTTTGTAGACAAAGAAAACACTAAACGGCCCAAATGCTCGAGGTCCTTCACTTGCCATTTTGATGGTTCTCTGTTGTCGTGTTAGAGGACAGAAAAAACAAACATGTAAAAGAAAGTTTTGGGAATGGAAGCAGAACTCTCTAAACCCTCTAAACGTTTTAGTATTCATTGCTGCTTTACCCCAGCAGGTCTTCCTGTGTGAGGAGGACGCTAATGTCCTGAAGAGCCTCTTTAGGAAGGCAAAAGTTTCTCATGTCTTCCAGCCGCAATGCGAGAGCCCTTCTGTCCACAAGATTCAGTGTTCTCCTGTCCAAGAAAGGCAGCAAAGGCCCCAGGAAGTCAAGAGCTGAGCTGTCAATCGCACTTGCATCACCCTGTGGTGTACAATACAATTCAATAGGTATCAAATGTTTTCAAGTATAGAAACAAAATAAAAAGTACATGCACTTTGGAAACTGGTGCCTCAAGAACAAACTTGTTATGCGTGAGATTGTTATTTTTCATTTGCTTTAACACAAAATTGGTTATGGTAAGCAATAATTGCCATAAAATTATGACAAGAACATGTAATTGCAGTCTGAACAGCTAAATGTGTGTCGGATTAATCATGTCTCAAAGTAAGTCTTGTCTTAAGGACCTCCTCGAAAAAAAGATCATCTCAGAGTGCAATCCCTAATAAAGAATTTTTAAAAAGGACTCTGGAGTTGTTTTTCAATCGAGAATGTCATCTTGTGAAAACTGTATAATCAGAGCTGACCTTAAGAGTCCCGTCAAGCACAATACTTTTTCCAAATTAACAAGATTATCGTCATATATGTATGTACAGCTTTTGCTTTGCATATAAGCCGGTGCCAACCACAATACTGTTTCGATTGAAAGAATAAAGAAAACCAAAATTCCCCAAAGATAAAAATAAGAAAAATTACCAGTTCAGTCACTGCCCTCTCAGCGATATGCATTTGTTTGTAATGTGGAAGCTTGAGGAAGTCAGAAAAGTGTGTCTGAATGTAGCCTATAAGGTTTCTGAAAGACTCGTTGGAAAGCTTTTCTGCCAACGTCACCCTACAAAAGAAAATAACAATTTCATTTTATTATGTACAACAAACAAAACATATTGGTGAGTACATACGGTAACGTTAATGCAAATCCAGGACTCAGGATATCCAGGTCAACCTCAGGGCGGCTCCTCAGTTCATCTACAATACATTTTCTCTGAAACGGCATACTTTCTGTTACTATTGACTCATGCCAGCATTTATGTGCAAATTAATGATCTGTGATTAAATCTATACAGTTTGCTTACTAGAGCTGGTCTAATATTTCCAGGAAGATTGGTGAAGTCCAGAATGTCCACATCTGTTTCATTGGTCCAACGCTTTAACAAGTCACAACTTACTCCACTAGCCACAATTCCCAGGTCTCTATGAGGAATATCAATAATTGGTGTATTTACCTTTAGCAGCAACACGGTAAAACATAAAATATTATACAGATTTTAATCAGAATGCACAAAAAACATAATAAAATGTTGCAATTTGTAATTGTTTATATGACTTATGAAACGCTTTTTATGACATCCAACGATTCAAATAGCATTATTCATTCACTCTTTACACTGTGGCGGTAAACTACAACTGTAGCCACAGCTGCCCTGGGGCAGACTGTAGGAAGTGGTGCCATCGGCCTCTCTGACCCTGACCCATCATTGATGCACACACAACAGTTGTGTGTATGAGCCTCAGGGTCAGCCTCAGCGTGACAAGAGGAGCAGAGAGAGGAGGAGAGTCGTGGAGGAGAGAGGAGGCAGGTGTGGAGGAGTGCAGAGACATAATGGAGATGTGTGAATGTAAGAAGCAGGAATTAATATTGTTGTGTTTGATGGGAAGCCAGCAACAAAAGAATTCCGTCCATTGTTAGTATTATACTATAACTATTGTTAAGATACAGGATTAAAGAAGATGACAAAATAATTGTTTAATACCTCACAATGCCACGGGTTGTATTTTTAAACTGAAGACTCTTAAACAAAAGCTGCGCCTGTAAAAACAAGTAAACATGATTATCTTATTCATAACACAAATGTATAGACATGTAGCCAATATTCTTAAGGTGCATTAGGTGTTTATTCCAGAGGACTGTCATCTTTATGAACTCAACAGGAGGCATGACACATGGTGAAACCAGACTCGGATGTTGGCTGGCCCTAAGCACTTAAATGTAGCTATTATTCATTTATACCACAATCCTCCAAATCATTGTACAACTTCCAAGCTAATTAGCTTGATGGTGGCTGATGCATGTGGGGAATTAATATCATGAAAGGATCATGTGAAGCATATCCAATGAGCCGCTGATTAATGTGAGTTCAGAGCTGGCAAGATTTCCCTGCAATCAATGTGCCATGCTTTGCTATTCGCTTTACTGTATATTGTGGAAGCAGCCTGAAGTCATTGCTTTATGTAATGGCATTGAACTCTCCTAGGACAACATGTACTGTTAGGTATATTCATTAAAATCTCACTTTTTGAACGCATGCTTACGATACAGATTTCTGCTCAATGCTATTTGATAACTAATGATGAATAATGATGAAACATTTACCTGTTGTGGTGACCAGGGTATTTTTCTGAATTGGCTTCTATTGTTCAAGTGAGGGTTGTTGTTCAAGTCTAGCATTAACTTCTTCAAAGGAACAAATGGTAAAAGACAAGGCACTTGCTCAATAAAACTCTGTAAGTCACTCTGGAGAGCCTGTTGGTATACAAAACATACACACCATAGTTAGAGAGACACAGTGGTGGAGTGAAAAAGTATAAAGTATACATCAAAACTATAAACCCTGTCACCTCTTCCGCTGCATAATACAGCATGGCTCTTTGTCCTGGCTTTAGCTCAGAGAATAAAGTAGTCCAGCAGTGACAGGACACAGACTGACTGATGTTGTCCCACCGGAGGCCTCTGACCACCGCAGGGGAGAGGCCAGAGTATAATACCTTCAATCTGCACAGTTTGTCCATGGTGAGCTGCCGGTGAAACACAAGCACACAGCTTCAGTTCCAAATTCAAACAGTTTAAACTTGTGATTGGAACTTACTTACATTGATTTCGTTTGATATCTTGAGTAATATTTTAAAAGCCTTTAAAACAAATGAACAGGCAATAGCATTATATGGTCTACAGTTGATCATCATCATTTTGTTTAAAGAAAAAATAGTTTGCATTGTTTTTTTCATAAGAATAAAAATGAGATATACTTTATGAGAGATAATGACAATTAACATGTTTTAGAATGTATATATGCCGAAGTATGAAGGGTAAAACATGTTTTACAGCTGTAACTCCTGATGCTACCACCATGACTTTGATATATCATTGTTGCACCATTACACACTGTAATTACAAGACAAAGAGAAGCTTTTAGACAGAAGGGGCGGAATTACAAGTTTGTGCCGATCATTAGCATGTATGAGTCTAAATACAACTCCAGGTTTGTATTTAGACTTAAAAGCTTAAAAGGGTTAATTAAAGAAATGTCAAGACATAGATTCTAATGCAGTGATCAAACTCATAATAATTTCTATGGATTAAGAATTCAGAGTTTAATTAAGTTACTAGAAGCAAAAACATTGATTCAAAGGAAGCATCATACCTGTGCTGGGGAATATAGTGGAATGTCAGATTGTGAGAGAACGTTTATGAGCTCTTCTGAGGGCAATGACAGCAGAAAGGAAGCTCCGAGTTCAGGCAGAACCCCACTGAGAGCAAACAGATCCTGCTGAGCCATGCTGCTGGCATTCAGACTCAGAACCACAGGTGCGAGCCACGAGGAGAGCTAATGCGGACAAAAACACTTGTCAGTTCATTTCAGGAGTTGTTCTGAGTTTATCAGAAAAGTCCTCACCCTGCCTTTAGAGCTGATCAATCCCTTGGACATACACTCTGCCAGCTGCTGCCAGAGAGCAGAGGCCACAGCTGGGTCCTCAAGGAAGGAATGGAGCTCTAAGGGATCCAAATAACAAACGAGGATCCCTAGACTGAAAACAGAACAGTCGGGGTAAACAAACTGTAATCAATGTGTTTGTGTGGTATGAAATATTGAAACAGTTGTTTTAGAGAAAAAACATGTCCCATGTGACAGTAGCAACAAGCAAGCAGAAGGGGGAAAGGTATAAGCACATGTACTGATTACACCTCATTATGTTATCTCCAGTAAGATTCCTCTTTTTGGTAAAAAGGGTCCTGAGCACATGACGCCCCCTCACTCCATCCAGACTGCTGTTGCCTAGCAACTCAGCTAAAGGGGTAAGCTGTAAAGCAGAGATGATAAAGGTGTGTGGTTAAGGCCTTTGTTCTGTTAGTTATTCAGCAAAGATCTGAAGTTTAAAGTGTATTTTCTTTCGTATTAATAAGGACACATTATCATTTTAAAAACTAAATATAACTTCAAATGGGAAAGGTCCTAAAACTTGAAGTTAAAATATTTTACCTGTAGTGATGTAAGTTTCTGAAAATGATTGATTGGGAGGTAAGGCAGGAATGGAAGAATAGAAGCAATAAAATAAGGGGGCCATGTTTGAACGTCTCCCAAAACAGAGGACTGCAGAATTCGATGAACAAAGGCTTTCTTTTGTAGAGATCTCATCCCTGAGCTTTGATCACGAATAGCTGTCAAACTGAAGCACAGTTATAGTTACAGTTACACTTCATTTGAAAAGTGTATTTGTGCTTAGATACATACACACTGTCATTGACCACGAGGGAAGTTGGGAAATTCATTATGTCCGAGACCGACATGAAGGGGATGAACTGGGACAGGTCAATAAACAACTCTGGGGTTACTCTGGGGAATTTATGCAGAAACGCAGCCGTCATTGTTTCCATTGCTTGCAACTCTGTTTGAGAAACCTGTAGAACCAAAAATATAATACAAACATTACCAACAACTTGAGCAAAAATAAGTGTTGAATAAAATGTATACAGTAAAAAGTTTTACAACTTTTACAATGTTATAAGATGGAGGGCAGGGCATTATCTTTATTTGTTTATATTGAAGGTGTACATAGGGGGAGACAAATACAGCTGCATAATTCAGACCTGCCCTAATGTTGTCATATTCATAAGCAGTTTGTCAATGCACTCTTACATTCTTCAGAACAAACCTTGTGGGTGTGAACTTGTAATTGATCCCAGCTTTGATGCATATGAGAGATGAATCTTTTTACGGCATCATTTTCAGCAGACATTACAAGACTACGAATACTGCTTCTTGGCAGCCTAAGATACTCCTGTGGAATTAATGAAAACAGTTCACAAGTGTGTTTACAAAGGTGTAGGTGAAGTTGCCGTTGTATTGTACTTATCAATAGTCAATGTATTTTCATAAGAAAGTGTAATGTCACAAAGCTGTGGGTGCAGGAGGCGCTAACCTGCATCAGCACTCTGAGAGCTGTTGAGTTGTTGTCCTGCTGAATGAGGTCCCACAAGACAGGCTGAAAAACACCAAAAGTACATGAATTGGGAATTCAGAGTGAGAGAGAGGATAAATACATCATATCTTACACTAAAGCAGCTCAGTAGGTCTTCTTTCAGAGACGCATTCTTCTCCCTTAGCAGAAACACCCCCACAGTTTGAAGGACACTTGTACTTGCCTCAGGCTGCACATTGGACCAGGATGCATTGTCGAGGAGACTAGAAAGAAGGATGGCCTGGCCTAACCCTTGTCGCGCCTCCATTTCACCTTCCTCCAAACCGGACGAGAGACCCACAATAAAGTCCAGGAGCCGCAGGACATAACCCAGTACCACCATGAAGCCTTCTCGCTCCCCTCCTTCAATCTCACACTTGCTCAGCTTGTGCGCCACTTCTATCATCAAAGGAGCAGGATCCACACAGAGCCGAGCACTGTCAAATTTATATGGTGCCGGCAACATTTCAAAAAACCTCTGTAGGAAGCACTTTCTGCCCTCTAGTTCAGCCTGAAAATTGGCACACAAGTCCAAAAACTGTGGCACTGACCTCACCAGCTGCTGCAGGAGTGAGGCATTTTGACAAATGTACTCTTTCAGTCCATCTGTGTGCACACAATGCTCCAGGAGATCGCTGTTGAGAAAGTGATGGACTGCCCACTGTCTGTAGTGACACATATTCTCGGAGGTGTCAATAAAGGAGGAATTATGTATTTTTGAGCAGTATGCAGCACCCCAGCTGCCCTCTGGCAGAGACTGGGTCAAGTCAGGAGGGACTTTGCCACACAACGCTGAGATGAGAACAGAGCTATTAGGCAGAAAACACTGTCTAAAAGCTTTAGCATTAAGAGACATGCTTCCCAGCAGAGCCAGACAGTCTTCACTGAGGGCTGCAATTCCTGTAGATTCACCCAACATTTGTACACAGAGGTCATCAATACTGGAGAAGTTAAAAAAGTTATAGTCCTTTGTGGCTGTAGCCTGCAAGTGATCATAAAAAAAAAATTATTATACGAACAAAATGCATTTTAGTCAGTTTACATATTTACACTCACCTCATGCACTTTCTGCAGCCAGAAAGAAGAGTTGGCACATACAGTGTTATTAAATTCACTTGCAAAGAATTCACTGCAGATGTGAACCCAGAGGAAATCTTCCTCCGCAGCTGCGAGGTACCAAGCCGCATCAGAGCAGGTGGAGGGCAGGTCAAGCCCCATGTGGGCCACAGCACCATCCACAGACCCATTCTCCCCATCAATCAGTTTACAATAGAGGAACACAGTGAAGTTTGAGACACCTGTCAGCCCGGGGATGGATTCATTGCAGGCTGCTTCCAGGATTTCTGTACTACTAAAGGAGTGAATCTCTCTGAGCTGGTCATTGCCTTTCAGAGTAGAGTTCAGGGAAGATTTATGAGCCATGGGAATCGGTTTATCAAGTTTATTCTGCCTTTTCAGTAAAAATGAAGATTGTTTGGAACTTTGGGCTGGATTTTTTTGATCCAATGTAATTGATGGACAGGTCAGAAGTGGGCGTGTGGTTGGGAGACTGTGAGAGTTAAAGCCCAAAGCCTGGGCATTCCATGTCAGATTATGTCTAATACCCCTTCAGAAAATGACAAAAAACATTATTATAAAAATGTGTAGAATACATAACTTTAGTGTTGACACTCACCATAATAACAGCTGTCTCAGGTCACCTTAACATGGTTGGAAATATAAAGACAAATCAAAGTGAGTTAGTGGTGGAAAAAGGCATTCACATTGTTACGGATATTAGAGTGCTCCTTTGTGTACAAGAGCAAAGATATCATGTTACTGACATCAATGGAGGAATAAAGAGATTAGCTGGTCTACGAACAAAAGCTCTCAATTAGCTCGGTGAGGTCCAGGTCAAGAATAATACTACTTATTAGTGCAATCAGAATTTGACATACTCACCAACAGAGCAGCGTCCTTGGGTGTCAGGGTGAGGCACATCTACCAATCCTTCTACATCGTCCAACATGGCCATTGTAACGCGGGTCACTTTTGTCTTTAGATTATTGTAGACTGAGCTTCCAACTCTGTGCAGCAAACTGCTCCTCAGCCCGTCTAGACTTTGAACAAGTGCAATATTTTTCTTCGTTACCTGGCCCCCCTTCTCTCCACCACTGGAACGGGACAAGGCCTGCAGGAGTAAGCTCTGCATCAAAGCACTATCTGAAGAGTTCATGTGGACAAGAGAGCCGCTGACGTTGAGGCTGTCTTGTTTCCTAGCTTCAGGAGGTAAACTGAAAGGCTTTAATCTGCCAAATCCTGTGGAGGCCTTGTTCTGCTCAACTGGCTCAGCTTGAGGGTGTAAACTCACCACAGGCTTCCAGTTTCTTGTTTCTAGGAAGCGAAGTAGCTCTTGCAGCCAACTGACATTGTAGGTACAGTCACTCTGACCTCTAAGAGCGCAGATGAAGCCTTGCAAACCAGCACTGGCCTGACCGTACGTCCCACTCACTAGAGCCTGGAGAGCTGCTTCCAGCACTGCACTCACGGTCTTCCAATTCTGGGATATGACAGTCAACAATGGTTTGTAAGTTTTCTTTTCAGACATTGTGATAACACTTTGTAAAATACTCAAAAGCCAGTCCCAATGCTGACTGCCCCTCAATGACAGAAACCAGTCCTGCACTGTGAAGCTGGGCCTTGGTGGCACTCGTCCATTCCACTGGTCTGTTGCAGCGCTCCCTTCAGACTGGAGAAAGAAATGCAAAACCTTCTCCCATAGCTGTTCTTCCTCAGATTCTGCTGGAGACTCCTCCAGCTCAGTTCCCATTTCCTGGAGGTACTGAGAAATATTGTATAGAAAACCAGACAGACGGTGGCGGTCGATAGGTTTGTTCATCGAAGGGATTTTTGTGTGGGGAAACAGTTCTTTAGCCGGCCCATTATATTCCTCATGACTGGATGTACATTCTTTGTGGAGTCGGATGGAGTCTTTTGAGATTGCCATCCATTTTTACTTAACTTGGAAAGAGCAGCAAGAATAGCATTTCTCTTCTCATCCTTTTTTATACCTGAAAAAATGACATTGAAATGACGTCACTTTAGTCACCTTAATCTCTTTAATCTCTCGTTAATCAGTCAATGACTATTTATATATATATATATATATATATATATATATATATATATATATATATATATATATATATATATAATATATATATATATATATATATATATTTACATTGATAGCGTACTTACCTGTTCCCTCTATCCCTTGTCCCAAGACTGTACCAAATATAACAAAAGTTGTAAACAAAAAAGTTGCCATTCCCGGCCGTTTTTCCATCTTCATCTCATCCCAGCTTCCAAAAAGTGCTGTCACATCTTCGTAAATGAAAAAGTAAGCAGGGAAAACAAAGCTGCGTATTTAACAGACGCATAAAGGTTTCTTTGAAAGACTAGAAAAGCCCTTAAGAGTAACAACAGGAGCTCACCAGAGAATATTAAAGCTTAATGACTGGATACTGCGTTACCTTTCCACTTTCACCACATGGCTCGGTTGGCCGTCAAGGTGTTTAGAAAGGCCTCGTACGTAGTTTAATGCTATATTGTGCAATATATTAAAATTATAACAATATACTATTTTAAATAAATTGTGTCAAACTCACTATGCTAAGTAAATAGGCCTATGCACTCACGCTCAGAGATGCGGTCAGCCTCTTCCCTGAGTATTCCAGAGCTCAATGGATCAAAACGTCAGCTTTTGATGCGTCACTATCGTGATCTGACTTCTTTCGGAGCACTCTCACTTCTACACCTAAACTTCTCCACTTCAGGGTCCCTCCCCCTCCGCCCCCTTCCACACACGCGTGAGCCATGCATGCGGTCAGTGAACTCTCAAACTGATGGAGATCACAGACACCACTTAAGTCTGACAGGACTCAATGGAGCAACACACTACTATTAAGAGACACACCGCTCGATTTTGTGAGAAAGCCATCAAATCTGGATTGCGTACATGGTGATTATGTGAATCACACCCATGATTCATTTTATTGGAGTCATTTTATTGGAGTCTGACAAGCGCTAATTCTGTATTGTCTCGTCTCTCAGCTGCTGGACCTGAGCAGGTGTAATCTTACTGGCCAGGGCAGACCAGCAGCACGGTGTTTAGACACTCACATTTCAACAGGCCTCTTTCCAGTTGAGCTTCATCCAAGGGCAATGAGCCGCCCCCCAGTGCCAGGCCACTGAAACCCAAGACGGACCAGTGAAAAGCCCACCCTCTCTCAAGTGGCTGCAGTGGTGCGGTGCTGTTGTGGCCTGCGCAGGGACAATAACTTTCTCCTTTATTATTTATAGCACAGGGATCAGCGCGCAGCAGGGCTAACTTCACCATGGGGATATACAATGAGATACCAGATATGTCCTTTATGCGCTGGAAATGCAGCAGCAGGGAACAGTCAAAATCAGATGGGGAGATTATTTTTGCACGATACCTTCGTATTCATTAAAATATGTACACACAGGTTCGCAGGAATATACACCCAAAAATATAAACGCACCACTTTTGTTTTTGCACGCATTTTCCATGAGATGGACTTAAAGATCTAAAATTCATTTCAGATACACAATATTACCATTTCTCTCAAACATTGTTCACAAATCTGTCTAAATGTGTGATAGTGAGCACTTCTGCTTTGCTGAGATAATCCATCCCACCTCACAGTTGGGCCACATCAAGATGCTGATCTGACATCATGATTAGTGCACAGGTGTGCCTTAGACTGTCTACAATAAAAGGCCACTCTGAAACGTGCATTATTTTGCTTTATTGGGGGTATGGGGACTCAGAACCAGTCGGAACTGGTGTTACCGCCATTTGCCTCATGCAGTGCAACACATCTTCTTGGCATAGAGTTTATCAGATTGTCAATCTGATAAACTGTGGGAATGTGGGGCCAATCCTCTCCAATGGTAGAGGTAAAGGTGCACTTAATTGATCTCCGTAGGGCAATTCATCCTCTGCATTTGACCCATTCTGATGCCGCTAAGCCTTACGTCAGGAGCAGTGGTCGCCGTAGTACAGCGTCCAGGAATCCATCTCCAGATGTTGATGCTCGGCTTGGTCAGGACTATCGTGTGCTTGTTTTTAGTGGTAGGGGAAACCGAAGTACCCGGAGGAAACCTACGCAAGCATGGGGAGAACACGCAAACTCCACTCAGAAAGACCCCATTCTGACCGGGATTCTTCTCTTCAATCACACGTTTCAGCTTTAATGTCCAGATTCAGCAATCCAATTCAGTCAAAATTCAGAAATCCAGATTGTTCCAAATTATGTCCAAATTTTGTAATCCAATTGTTCATTGTTTGACATGTTTTACTGTTGATGGTAGAGCACGAACACAAACACGAACAAAAGATGTTACAGACTGCAAGTGATAATATAGCATGGAGGAATGAACACCGTCCAATCAGCTTTCGCAGCGATGCCAGCAGCTTCAACCTTGAAATAACCAAAACATGCAGTGGAAAAGTACTGGCTTTTGCATATGTAAGAATGATGAGTTAGAACTTTAACCATAGTTGCTTCAAAGTGTCATGAAATATCTAAATCGGTTTCTGACAGCTTGTGCAGAAATCTCAGGGGCTGGTCTCAGACTATCTTTGAGGTGAACCTGCTGGATGTGGAGGTCCTGGCTGGTGTGGTTACAAATGGTCTGCGGTTGTGAGGCCGGTTGGATGTACTGCCATATTCTCAAAACACCTTTGGTGACGGCTTATGGTGGAGAAATGAACATTCAATGCACAAGCAACAGATCTGGTTGACATTCCTGCTGTCAGCCAGTTACACCCTCCCTCAATGCTTGTGGCATCTGTGGCATTTTGCTGTGAGACAGAACTGCCCATTTCAGAGTGGCCTTTTATTGTAGTAGACAGTCTAAGGCACACCTGTGCACTAATCATGATGTCAGATCAGCATTTTGATGTGGCAAACCTGTGAGGTGGGATGGATTATCTCAGCAATGCAGAAGTGCTCACTATCACACATTTAGACAGATTTGTGAATAACGTTTGAGAGAAATGGTTATATTGTGTATCTGGAATGAATTTTAGATTTTTAAGTCCATCTCATGGAAAATGGGAGGAAAAAATTAAGGTGTTGCGTTTATATTTTTGTTTAGTATAATTATAACAGCACAAGGCGAGGGAATCAAAGATAACTGTTTATGTGGCCTATGTATTCACAAATTTGTCACCAACTGTATAGTTGGGGAAAAACACATTTGACGGAAAACTGCGCAACTCATGCGCCTCCCTAAGGCCACGTAGGTCCTGGGTGTGTCCCCCAGAACATGTTGCAATCAGGTGCAATTTGACTTCTCTGGAGAAATTTAGATATCTGTCAAAACTGGCAGAACTTTAACAATGGTGTAAAATATCTTACTAAGGGGAGTTAAAATAGCTGTCATGTCTCTCTCGCGTGTCTTACTGTGACCTATCCACACAGTATAGATAGCCTACTTTTAAATTAGCATATTTTTACTCCAATTGTTAAGAAGCAGCGCATCAAACATACAGTACTTTAATTGCAGACCTAATACAGGAAAAAGCAACATAAAATTTAACAACATTTTATTAATTACAGGCTGAAATATCTTAAAACATGGCATATTAAAAAATACCAATCACATATTGGGTAAAACCGAACAAAGTGTCATGAAGTGAGGTTCAGAACAAATTTGGTACATCAAATAAGTCACAAAGGCCCTCACTCTCATCCAGGTTGTAACTGTACTCATTGATTGGAGGCGGTGACAGAGAAAGAACTATAAAATAAAGATAATTGTGAGTTGATCATTGTACACAGTTACTATACTGTAGGGATGCACCGATACAAGTTTAGTAGTTTATTATAGCTTGTTATATTTATACATATACATATATATATACTACATATACACATATACACAAACTTATATAAATAAAAGGCCAATATAAAAGGCCTACTTTAAACAGAATAGGACATTTATGACAATATTAGACTTAAGAGTTGCTCCCCAAGGGGGTGCCCTTCAGGGGCCTAGTATTGGCTGGTGATGGCTGATGGGACTTTGTCCTTTGAAAGCTCTATTTCACCACTGGATTGCACCTCACATCGTGGTCTGCGACTCACAGCTGCAGTGATCTCTTGTGGCTATAGCACTTTGAAGTCATGCACTAAAGAGAACGTATCGCCATGGTAATTAAACAATTAAACAGGGAAAGGGCTGCAGAGTGCAGAAATTGGAACCTCTCAAACAGGACCGTCGACTGGTATCAGGTCTATGTAGGCGAATACAAGAATCGATGCATCCCTAACAGCTACATGTATCACTTACCATCAGTCTCCATTAACCGATTCGCTTTGCCAGGATTGTTTTCTATATCCAGATCTTCAACAAAATAATAAACACCAACATGATTAAATACAAATCAATATGAAGTACTCGAATGCCTCATTTGTGTGTTAAAGAGTGTTACCTTTGGATGGGTCAAGGAGGTCTCTAATATTTCTTGACAAACAGTGAACTGCATGAAATGATAAAATATTGAACAAACTATTCATTCAACAACATTTAAAGCAATCAGTGATTATCAGTGTAATAACAGAAAACACCCACTCACATCCAGACCTGCCCATTTTGTTGGATTCAAGCTCCTGAAACAAAGTCTGGAGCGTACGGACGTTTTTGGGGTTTTCTGAAGGTTGCTGAGATAAGGACTGGATCTGCTTCTCTGATAAATTACCCAGAGCCAACTGAGCACGATGCAGGAGTTCTTTGGATGGTGGAACTGGCAACAGCACCGTTTCTGAATTTTCTGAACGTTTGTTAAGAAGTGCAACATTTATTGGCCCACTGGAGCTTTTCAAGTGAATCTGGTATGTTATTGGACCATCCCTGATCTAATGAAAAAATACATTTTATTTAAAATAAGTAAAAGAATGAAAATCCACCTCTTCTTCTTACTTACAGCTTTAGGAATAGGAACATCGAGTTGGGTCCCAGAAGGTGCTTGCACTGCCAATATAGTATGGCCTTGAAAAAAAGAAAAAACATTTAAAACAGAGTTGCTCATAAACATCTTGGTAAAGTAAATAAGTGTTCATACCACTGAAAGCGTCGGAGACATCCTCATGACTGATGTAGGATAAAGTGACTTTATGTTAAGGATTATTTATAATAGACATTGTATAATTGAAATTCACCAGGATAAGCTCAAGGCTAGTTTGTATGTGTAATATTCACCATTGTAAAAAATAAAACAATTGTAAAATAAGATATTGCTCAAAAAGAATATACTGTGTTGTCTTCGTAAATGTTCTTGATGCTCTGCCGGACCCAGCGCAGTTGCAGATCGAGCATTTCTTCCTTCTGCTTCATTTCTATTAATTCACACTTTAAAAGCATGTGTTGTCTGCTTATGTTTGTGGTACTCCCTCCAGGAAGTACGCCCCTTGTTTAAATAAAGAATAACTTAAATGCAATATGAAAATATTTACATGAACAAAAATGAAATACTAAGAACAACTTACTTCCATTGCACGACATTTTTTGTTAATTTTTCAATCAAACCAATGCCCTCCAACACGTTGGTGATGTCATAGATTCTCCTTTTTTGCGTAACAGCCAGGACACTCACTGCCTGAAGAAAGTTACATTTTACATGAGTTTCACCTAAATACAGGATGTAGGCACAACTACATTTGTTATCAGTCTTTCCATTATTCTACATTATGTAAGGCAGACACAGACGTGTTGATACGGAAAAAGAATGAAGGAGGGAAACTGCAGAGAAGCATTGGCTTCAGGATGGGAGAAAAGATTATTCTTTTTATAAATCAATTTAATGGTTAGATCACAAAAGACCAGGAATGGTGAGATTTTTATACATTTGAGCAAAAATGATGCCATTAGAGAACGATAACAGTTGTAACACAATGTAACTGTGTTACATTCCATGTCATTCAGTAATAGTTACAGCTCAGTCTGAATCACAAAAACTTGACAGCGTTTTAAAATCTGTAAATAATAATAATCCTAAAGGCATGTTAGTGGAATTTAACATTTTCAAAGGGTGAAATTGGAGAAGAAGACATAATTGCGCTTGTTATATGTTTTATGCAATACACTTTGATGAGAATGACTTTGCATTGTTAATTAAAGGCAGTTTCATTCTTGTATTGTTTCAGCCGGTGGTGAGAGTCTCTTTGAAGAAAAACATGTGCAATGACTCAAACAGGTTGGGGAAAACTGGCTTTATTAGTTTAACTATATCATCATTTGATTATTTCTGTTATTGGCCAATACTAAAACTTGACAAATTAATTTCAACTAATGATGGAAACATTTAGGCTACTAATTTAAATTGAATTGATGTTGTGCTTGTAATTGCATTTGAGTTAGTTTGTGATTATGTGTGGTCAAAAATATGTCTTCTCTTGTTTTCCAAGTCAAAAACAAACCGATTCAAAATAGATTAGTTTGAGTAGCATAACTTACTTCTTTCAGGTCAATTCGTCCACCTTCAGAATTATGCATTAGTTCAACAAATCTAACAGCGATTCTGGTCAGACTCTTGAGACTCCTTGGCTTTGGAGGGAGCTCTGCCACTTCACTCTCCTCCTCTGGACTCGAGAGGGTATCCTCCATTTCCACTGTTGGGAAGGAACCGAGAAAACAAATAATTATCAAATTACACAATACGCACCATAAAGTTAAATAGCCATGCCTTTAAATATACAGTTAAATGAAACACTACGAGAGCCTTTCACCTCTTAATTGAATCTTAAAACAAAAGAAATGAGACCTTTTTGCTAATGTAGCCTTCTGAGACCTGTGTTTTATAATAAAAAAATACATTGAGTAATAAAAAAGTTTATTTTTTTTTGGAAATGTAATGAAAACTTTAAAGCACAGTTACTGTTCACTGATATATACTGATATATACTGTTAACTTTAAAGTGAAGAGTATATATCCTACATGCACTGTGATTTTGTTTGATGAATTTCATTTTTCAATGTTTCTTTCAGGGATTTATGTGCGATAATAACAATAAGCCCTAATATATGAAATGTATACCGCAATAAGGATGTTTAATAAAGACAGATGTCATTTCAAAGATAAAATACTTCATCAAATCATCCATAGTGTATCTAAGTAGTTTAATTAAAGCAAATTGATATGTGACCACAGCGTTATACAAAATGAAGTAACTATGGCAACTAAAGAGGGTTAGGGCGATGGCGAATTTCTACTCGTGCTTTATTTTGAAAGAAGTGCAACGGAAGTACAACTATATAAATGGTCATAGGGATTTTTCGTTTTACCCAGTTAAAAGTCTAGTTGTAGTTGATAGTAATATCACTTGATGCTTAAATTGTTAAATATCAACCATGGAGACAGTTGTCAGGACAAAAGCGTATGAACATAAATTTACCTGGTCAGAGGCCGCGGGCAGGAGGACGAGCCTGCTCTAAGCTGTAAACAATCATACAACAACTAATTTGCGAATATTTTCAAGACGCTGGTCGTCATGATGTAGAAGGAAACATCTTACTCCGATTGTAATTCTCCCTCCATGCGTACATCAGCTAAATGCAAATGTCAACCAACATGAAAACTTTGAGCTAGTGTTTGCGTCCTGCAGAGGAACTAGGCGCGTCTTTTCACACCCGGAAGCTCAACGCCGAACTTTCACATTAAAGGCACGCATATGTTTAACCAACTTTAACATAATTTTACATATAACAATCCGTAGACTTTACTTTGCACACAACAGTTAAGATGATTATATTTAAGATTCACCCAAATTATAATCAAAATGCACTCCTTGTTAGGTCATATTTTAATCTTTATAAATTGAATTACGGCATCAAGAGAGGGGTGTAGGGTGTAAACAAGTCTATATATATTTTTTTGCAAACAAATTGTAAAAAAACCCGAAACATATACTTTGATTTAGTGGGGTGGGTTTTTAATAGTGTATGTTTCCCCATTTCCTTCACAAAATGGCAATGCCAGTGTAAAAAGATTTATTTTTGAAAACAGATAAGAAAGACATAAGAAAAAGTAAAATAATTAAATAATAGAAACATCTCGTAACTATAGACACACAACAAACCGATATTTATATTTATGATGTGTTTTATTCCGGCAACTAGGACTGACACCCACGTGATACGAATGCAGTCATATGATGCGTGGAGCGAAACCAGAGGAGATCGAGGAAGTGCAGGCAGTTCGAGGGGTGTGAGCTCCGTGGATGCATTGGAGAGATGGGCAGAGGTCGTGTGCTGCTGCTGGGGTTGTTTTCCCTTCTACAGACAGCTTCCAGGGCTCAGTATGCCGCAGATGAAGTCACTTATTTGCCCGGAATGGAGTTTAAAACGAACTACCAACAGTGGTCTGGGTATCTCCAGGCACGACCGGGCAAGTTTTTGCATTATTGGTAGGAATTCCGTTTTCATAATAGTTATTGTACATTTAAAGACGGAGGACTTTTCAAACTACAATGACATCTGGATATGTAATCAATCAAAGTATAAACTCACGTAACAGTTTGTTTCTATCTCGTTTGCACGTGTCTCTGTCACAACTTTAGAACAGCCTTACGACAGAAGCATGACCATCCTCTCAGCCAATCAGCTGGCAGCCTCACAGACATCTTTGTAAATATTAGTACAATTTATAAAGTATGCACAAGATGGTATGTTTTCTAATAATAAAAATATTGCACATTGTCTGATTTCTTCACAACATACCTCTACCTTTACAAGGACGAGGCCTATGAAGTCATCTAAACTGCACCAAAAACATGTTACACAGCCATAAGATCAAACATACAATACATAAATGCGAAACTCGTATACTGTAAGTCTATCAACAAAGAACAAAAGTTAGGTTTGAGTGAATTGAAATAAACAAAGCTGTTTTGTAGTGCCGAATTGTTGGATCATGGGTCATCTTTCACGTGGGTTTGTGCAGGTTTGTGACTTCTCAGAGCAGCCCAACCAAAGACCCTGTGGTGCTTTGGCTAAATGGTGGTCCAGGATGCAGCTCACTGGACGGTTTCCTGTCGGAGAATGGACCCTTTCATGTGAGGAGAATCATTACCACCATTTACTCCTCTTTTTGAAAAAATAAGCAATACATATTTTTAGGTAATGGAAGATGGTAAAACACTGTATGAGAATCCATTTAGTTGGAATAAGAATGCAAATCTATTGTATTTGGAGTCACCTGCTGGAGTAGGTTATTCTTACTCCGATGACCAGAAATATGCAACAGATGATGACCAGGTAAGTTCAAGGAAAACTTTACAATGAAAATAAATAGTTTGGAGGAATACATTGTTATGTTTTTTTCAAGGTGGCTGAGGACAATTACAAGGCCTTACAGAGTTTCTTTTCCAAGTTCCCAAACTTCACTAAAAATGAGTTCTTTATAATTGGTGAAAGCTATGGTGGAATATATGTACCAACTCTAAGTCTGCTTGTGGCTACAGGAACAGAAAATATCAATTTCAAGGTAAATTCAAGTTGGTATCCATTAATTATGACTTTTGTTCACAACTATTCATTGATTCTCAGGGTTTTGCTGTTGGAAATGGACTAAGCAGCTTTGCTCTTAATGATCAGTCACTTGTCTATTTTGGTTATTATCATGGATTATTTGGAGAAGAGTAAGTCAAATGATTGTGTGCATGATTAAATTAGCTTAAAGTCCTCTGTTGATTTGATCAATCAACAACCTTTGTGCAACTATATTGATTCCTGCATTTCCAGTTTGTGGCGTGATCTCACAACAAACTGCTGTGAAAAAGGTAGTTGCAACTTTTACAATTCAAGCTCTAAGAGCTGTGAGACAATGGTATGTGCCCTGTAGATGTTGGTCATTTTTTTCAGATGAGCAGAACTAATGTATTGTTTTTGTAAACTTTAGGTGAATGTGGCATTTAATATAGTATATGATAGTGGCCTGAATGAATACGCCCTCTACTTGGACTGTCAAGGCAAAAACAGAGCTTATGAGAGGGCTATGAGTCATGTTTTTAAACACTTCAGAAAGAATGCTAAAGGACGCAAGGTAAATTTAATGCTGCCTGTGGATTTAAACAATTGCTATAATTTGGTTTATTAAAGTTGGCAGGGTTGATAAATCCTTCTCTTGGGGAAGTGCCACCCTGCATCGACAGCGCGGCTCAGATACAGTGGTTGAACAGAGGTGACGTGAGGAAAGCTCTACACATTCCTGATATTCTGCCACCGTGGGACCTCTGCAGGTTATTACACCATTTTTCTCACTTGTGTCAATGTGGAGTTTTTGGAACTAAATGCCATTGCTTTTCTATAGCGACTTTGTTGGTGGAAACTACACCAACATTTACCCGACTGTGAAGGAAGTTTACCTGAAGCTGCTCTCTTTAGGCCTTCGAGCGCTTGTGTACAATGGAGACACTGACATGGCCTGCAATTTTCTGGGAGACCAATGGTTTGTCAACGATCTCGGCATGAAGGTTAGCTAGTTATTCTTAATATACATAATTTTGGATCCATACGTTTATTTAAAAAAAATGTTTACATCAGGCCACAACCAACTACAAGATCTGGCTTCATAAGGACCAGGTTGCTGGTTTTTATCAGACATTTGGTAATATCACATTTCTTACAGTGAAGGTAAGCAGGACTTATAAGCAGTGATTAAAGAACACATGGAGTATCTTACACAGTATTGTTGTTACAGGGGGCAGGTCACATGGTGCCACAGTGGGCCCCAGATCCAGCTTTGCACATGTTCCAGTCATTTATAACAAATAGTGATTACTGAGGCTCCACTCATCTGTATCTTTTATTGATCAAATTTCTCAGGGAGGTATGTTCGATTTTAACGGCTCTTTTAGTGCATTTTATTATGTGTTTTTTAATCAAGTTTTTATCTAAATACATAAGGCACATTTTATATATGTTGGTACAATTTAATGTGATATCGACACTAAATTATATGTAGCTTGTCTTGGCTTTCTTTTTCATGGGTTCAACCTAAAAATATGAGTGATGCTTTTATGTTTGTAGTGTTCATAAAGGGAAACTTGTGACAAAATGTATTTTGTATTAGTATAGTTAAAAATTGCTTTGTACATAAGGCTTCTGGACACAGGCTCTTTTGAAGCCCACATTAATGGTTTGGCTTTTATCGTACCTTTTATCAAAAGTGCAATCGAGAGACTATTTATAGATTCTGGAATGTAGGTATTGGTTTCAGGTTCGAGGCATATGCAAACTGACACATGTGAAGCTTTTATTGGATAATCATCCAAATGTTTTTGTAACCCAGAATAAATAAAAGCCTTTAATTCAATCTCACACATGGCTCATTTCACACTTACACACACATGTGATCCCAAAATTGGACAAAAGAAACTTCTGAACACCTGGACTATTAACTGCTTATGGTCAAAGCTTATGCAGACTGATTTCCCTTTTTATTATTTAGTCTGCACTTGGAATGTACATTTACAAATAACTACACATTGAAGACGTTTCCACCATGTCACAATATGAGCTTACACAAAATCATGTCACAATAAGATCTCAGGACCAGACGACAGGTGAGCAGATTATGTCCCTTTGAAACTAAAACAAAAAATCCTTCAACACCAATATTTAAGAAATACTCAGTATTGATGTAATTATTCACAAATGCATAATTATTGCCCTGAATTTTACCAAGATACCATGCAGTATCACCTATATTGGTTGATGGTGATTTAAAAGTCCAATGATTCAGTCCAGTGATGTAAAAGACTTAAAACAAAATTGTAATTTTCAAGTTAAATAAAATCCATGTAAGTTGTCAGAATAATTGATTCCACAAAGTTCTTCAAAGGATTGACAGTATCTTGTGATGGATTATTTTCTCAGCAGCAGCAGACTCTGATGACAGCTTAAACATTTCTCACGTCTTCACATCTTGATATATTGAATTTGATGTTGTGAGGCCAAAAATGAAAGCTCCGAGCGTCACCATGACCACACCGAAGATGACCATCCCATGCCAACTGTGGATGCACACATTTACACACACTTTTCAAAGGAGACATTTACTAAATCATTATCAGGCACTTGTTGATCTGGTAACTTGGAGCAAAAATACTTTACATATGCAGATGTAACAACAACACTTGACTGACACAAGTGGACACGTTCACTCTTTTGAAACAGATCTGTGAAGCATTTTCTCCTCAAATGACCCAGACATGATCAGGTTTAACTGAACCAGACGGGAGCACACCAGACCATCAATTTCAACAAACCTGATCAACCTGTTATTCTATGATGTAACTGTAACCACCCAGTTGAAACAAAATTCAACACCTCCCCCTAGTGGTAGCATAGGATGTTGCAGGGAGTTTTTTCTTCATCCTTGATCATTGTTTTGTCATATTTTCTACTTAATATATTTCACATTTTAAAACATACGTATCCTTATTAGAAGTCTAATTTGAAATTAACGCACACATTTTTTTCAAAATACAAAATCTTACCTGGTCGATTGGTTGTCTGTCTCAGATAGTTTGGCTTGCATTAGACATAAACCTAAACATAAAAACCAGCATGATTAGAAGTGAAGGACGGGAGTCAACATTAAAATAGCAAAGCTATACCTGGGAAAATAAAAATAAAGCAGGCAGCCAGGCCACCAATCAGGGAGATTACCCGCCCAATGTCAGGTATGAAAAGAGCCAGGATGAGCGTAATGAGAAACCACAACAAAGTCTGTAGAATCCTCCGCCTCTGCTCACGACGAACACACACTTCCACCTGCTCCCCTTGGAAACGCAGCCACAGCCCCTCAATCACGGCCCTGAGCGCACACGCACGTACACAAACACACACATACACAACATGATCGCCAAATGTGCGTTTGGTTCAGAAATGCAAGAAAAACTGTATGAGACCGACCTTCCACAGAAGTGAAGGATTGGGTAGGAAGTAACAACACAAACGACAATAAAAGCCCTTGCAAAGGCCACAGCAATGTCATCAGGGGGATAGGACATCAGCACATCCTGCTGAACACTAGAGCCAAATGTCAAGAAGCCACAGACACCTGAAAAATATCAGGAGACAAACAGTTTCGTGACCCGTCTCCCTTCTGCCACTGTTTTCCAAAATACTACAACAACTTTTTGAAAAGCAGGATTTACTGACTGAAAGTCAATATGGGTTTCGGAAAAATAGATACTTCAGTTGTCCGTGGAGGAAATTAAACATCGTATTGAAAAAAGTAAATATGTATTCAAAATTGTTATTGATCTTCAAAAAGCTTTAGATACCCTTGACCATAATATTTTATCAAACAAATTCAATAACTATTACACAAGTTATTGTTGTTATACTAATTGACCAACACAAATCAGGTTTTTGGGACTTAACCTGGGACCCACGTTATTCCTTGTACTTGAATAAAATATGCAATATAAGTATCAAATTATGAAGTTCATTGATAATACTAATATTAATACTATATGAGGCGAGTTTTGGCCATGGTAACTGTGGAAATGGACAAACTAAAAATGTGGTTTAACCTAGATAACCAACTAAAAAATGTAATCAATATAAATCAATAACAAAAAAGAAATACCTGTTCCGGTATAGACAAAGAGACAGATGATCATGCTCAGAGTTACGACAAGACCCCAGGGTTTGATCTCTTTTTTAGTCATACTGTTAAAGACGGGCACGCAGCTGACATGACACTGGGAGAAAACACACATGGTTATGAAAGAGATGATGCAGTTTTGTTCATAAAACAAAATGAGGTGATACCTGGAAGCCAAAGCAGATAGTGGGCATTGCATTGAACACAGCCGTCCATGATGTAGAGCTGCAATACGGTAACTTCATGAGTAAAGGAAATCCATTCGTATTAGGAACTAAGATGCTGAATTTTTATGTATAAACTCACCTGACGGGAATGTAGCCTGGCATGCCATTTTTATCTGGCCAGATATACTTAATAATGACCACTATTGTAACATACCAGGTTCCTATTACACTTATTGCACTACAGACAGACAATAAAGAGATTAATACAGAATTATACATTATGTTCTAAATTATTAATAATAAAATGTACATTTTATATTTGTATTTGTACCTGGCATATTTCTGAAATCCAATTTCTTTGGGAATAGACAGAGGAAGTATAACCAGAACTGCTGTCACAGAAATAGTGAACTTCCGATCCATGTACCACTGGTGGCTGTCTGAACCATCATGATTTGCAGCTTCAATTACTACAACGCATTATTCGAGGAAGAGCAGAGGACATTTTAGTGATATATTCACAGCTCTAAAAGAAAAGGTTACACTTCAAGTAACTAGCATTTCCATTTGTCAGCATTTCATTTGGGTAATGTTTAAACTAGTCATGAGCTCAATGTGCACTAAAAAGCACTTGAACAATGCAAATAGACAACATACATCTATATATTCTTGAATGTACGTATCATAAAACTGAACTTACAGCGATCCAGTTGATCTCCAATAACAATGAAGAAGGCAATGCAGGTGCCAAAAGTGTAAATGGCAATGGCTACTTCACATAAAATTCCAGTCACCTTCCCACATGTGGCTCGTACGACCTCTTGATATGAGCTTTCATTACTGACCTAAAAAACATCCATCATGAAAAGGATTTATTCTTTTATTTATTATTTATTTCAGACCAGAGTGTGTTTGTTTCCATACTTAGTGGTTTCCTAATTTACACTCCCAATGGTTTCACACAGGCGCAAGTGAAAGTCTACTCGCTCCTTTGTCCTAATATATAATACATACTGAAGACAATACCATAATCTAATTAGAAATGTGAAGGATGTGCTATTGGATTGGTATGTTTTGTCAGCAACATACTCCTGGCACAGGAAGTCAAAGTGCCGGACGATTATGCAATGCTTCGACCACATCTGCTGAACGCTGTAAATGCATTGGAAAAAAGTGAGTTAGCACAAACCTGCGAGCAGTAACCGAGGATCACCAACCCACTGATGATGAAGATCAGCATGAACTGAAACGCAACGCAGGATATGTTCACAAAGGTCTAGAATAATTTTCTAATAACATTCAGAAGTGCCTTCCGTTCTATACAAGTTGAAATATGAGACATTTTATAGCCGCACCATTTGCAGCATCACTCCTGCTGTAACTCCTCCAGCCATACTGAAAGCTGCCGGAAAATTGAGTAATCCGGCTCCGAGCGCAGCATTAACTACGATGAATACAGCTGCAATAGGAGACACTCCACCGGCCCTCCGCTCCCCCTCTATGAGGGGTACAGAGTCCACACTAGGGCTCTGCAGCAGCCTGGCCCTTTCTCCAGGGTCTGTGCTGCCCATTCCACCCCAGTCCTCCACATCTGTGTTGATAGCCATGGCACTGGAGCTCTCACATCAACAAGAGCAGCATCAAGAAATACCATGTGCATTCACTGCAGTTTATCCAGAGAAGATGTGACAAAGGACATTCTGGGAAAAAAAAGTAAAATTAAACATTAAAAAGTCTTGGGCTAATATCTCAAGAAAGACATTGCTTAAAGACAATGTTTAACAATTAACGTAGTCATCTTGGATAAAACCATTTTAGATACAATCTTATATTTAACCACGAAAACATTTATTCAACTGGAGTGATTACATTCCAAGTCAAGCTGGAACATTTGCTGATTTAGTCCTTTTTGCTTTAAGTCTTTGCAAATGAGTTAAAAATAATTATTACAATATTCTGAATATCGCCTAATCAATCGAATAAAGGCCTAAATAGCCGTCAGTAAGATCATTTCCAGGATTCATGAAACGGAAAATCACTTAAAACCTGAATGCATGGCAGAAGAACACTAAATATTTCCATTCAGCTGTGTTTCCCTCTGCATTTCTGCTGCTAGCTAATGTGGGCTATCTGCTTTGTCTCAAGTTAACCATGTGAGAAATTATACGATCACAAACATTTCACGGAAATAATACTAACCTTACCTAGACTGTGTGTGCAGTGCTGGAGTCCGATAAGTGCAGACAGGAGTTTGTTCTGTGGTTAGCAGACATGAAGCAGAGGCGCGGTGTTTTGATCCAGGCAGAGGGAGGCGGTGACGTGTGTCCACGTGATAGTCACGTGAGGTAAACTCAAGTCTATGGGTAAACTGGGCATTGTAGTTCTTTTGCGTGGACAGGGATGGGATCATAACTTAAATGATCAAACGAACACTATACAGCCATGGAATAACCTGTAAATAAACCTCAGCTTCCAAACCTTTTGAAGTAATCACAAAGCCTTCGATCTGAATACATTTAACTTAACGTGAGGCATTATATACAATATATATGACAAAACTGCTGTGAGGGTGATCCTCGCTTTTCTGCTTAACGCTGATAGTGGTCGAATACCCCATACCCGCAGTTATTTATATATAAAAACAGACCCACAAATTATTGTTGCCATTTTATTGAATTTCAATTGTGTACATGACCAAAAATGTAATAAAACCAGGTTTCAGTGTTTATTTGATAATATCCAAGAGCTGCATGTCATTCACACTTACAGACCCACACACACACTCACACAGCCAGACAACACTACAGTGGGACAAACACATTTATATTTCATCTACAGTCTGTATCACAAACATCTCCAAATGTACAATTGAGAAGACATTGACAAAGATGATAAATTACTGATAAGATTAACTAATTCACCGTATGGGCAGAGTCAGCAAAATATCCAAAATAAAACAAGTGCAAAGCTAAAGTGCAAAAGAAATGACATACAGCTCAACAAATTGCCATTTTTGGTTTTGCCATGACCAAAAAAATACAGTTTGGTATGTCTATTCGAAATCAATAACCATTTTCAAATTGAGGTTCAGTCATACTTAAGACATCTAAATTTGTTCAGGGAATTTACACACTTGAAACTTAACCAAGAGTCTCACAAAACCAAATATAGTTAACTATAAGAGATAACCAGGAGCTCCTTTACTAGCATTTCTGATTTTGTAGCTCAACTTCACTTTGTGACAGCGTGAATGGCATGAGCCAGATGCCCCACATTCCCAGACGTCACACCAGCCATTGAAATTCTACCATCCTTGGTCATGTACACTGAAAACTCCTTTGTCAGACGTTCAACCTGAACAAGACAAGCAAATAATTATTTTATGGTTTAACTTGAGTGCCTAGTTTCAATGTCAAACTATAAATTGAGGACTCACCTGTTCAGGTTTTAGGCCTGTGAAGCAAAACATTCCAATTTGGTCAATAACATGCTGCCAGTTGCGGGTAGAACCTTCCTTTTGTAGACCTGCGACCAACTGCTCCCTCATTTTGATGATACGATTGGCCATACCATGAACCTCTTCCAACCTGCCAAAGACCAAACATTTTATCCAGAGTCAAATATATATATAAGAAAATAAAAATACACACATACCACAGTGAATACAGCTCAGGTGTGTTGAGAATAGTTGCAGCGATTCTGGCTCCGTTCATTGGAGGGTTGGAGTAGATCGGTCGGATGAGGATCTTGAGCTGAGACTCGACCCTTTTAGCCTCATCTGCGTCAGCGCACACCACAGAAAACCCTCCGACTCGCTCCCCTGAAGCACCAAGGAACAGAAGATGTTGAGTATACCAGAAAGTACAATCACATTAGTCCAGTTCTCAGGTCTATCCATTGGGTGGACTCTGGCCTCACACCAAGAGACATAAGTGACACGTTAGTCCCATATGAACTGGCCCAGACTGAGTAGGGCTGCACAATATATCAAAAAATATTGATATCGCGATATTGGTGTGTGCGATATCCGTATAAAAAAATATCTGCAATAAAAAAAACAAAAAAAAGTATATATATGCGATTTTTTTGTTATTCGTCTCTTGCGTTTCAATGCAGATTGCAAGTTTAGGTGAAAGACAAAAATATCGCAATAATATTGTTATCGAAATACTAAACACTCATATCGAATAGCGCACTGATTTCCAATATCGTGCAGCCCTACTGAGGAGCACAGGAACAAGTGCCCAGAGTTAGAACTGAACATGGGGAGGCAGTATTTCACATTCATGCAGCTAAAATCTGGAACTGTCTGCTTGAGAATGTGAGACGGGCATCTACTCTGGCAGTTTTCAAATCAGGTTAACAGTTCTATGCATACAACGGAATGATTTTATCTTTACACTTTAGTGCACTGTGGCAATTTATGATTTAAATCCCATATGTGGTTTATGTTTTTAATATTTCTTGTGATCTTTTTGCCCTGTGCGATTTTTGTTGCATTTTTTTATTTGATTTTTGTAGGAAAGGGGCTCTAAAAAAAAGATTATATAATATACACACACACGGGGGGTGACAATATGAAAGTTATTTACATTCCTTCCATTAGTTTTTCTTCTCAAAAGCACTTCTAAAAGTCTGTTCAACATTTTTGTCTTTTCTAATTTCAAAACGTGTATACCTTCCATGTCACATTTACATTTTTAGAGATAAAATTACAGAAAGTTCCTATTAGTACTATGAGAAAAGAATTCTGTGGTCAGATGAAACACTGATCTGAATGTCAAACTTGACGTCACTCCAGCTTTGATATTGGATATTGTAATATTGTTAAACATGTAGGCAATGCTGCTTTAATATTACATCTACTGCAGCGCTTTGTAAACACAGTTTTTGAAAAGTGCCATACAAATAAGGATTACTTGGCATCATGAGAAAGGAACTGACTGATCAAGGGAAATGTGTAAAAGACCACCAAAGCAAAGTGTCGAGATTCTTGATGAAAATCTGGGGTTCTGGGCCTTAAATAAGGAGTGGCTCCATCTATGACAATATTTATGACACCGCACTTGAACAGAAACACTCCAAGTTTGAGCATTATAACAAAAAAACAAAAACAAAAAACATAGCTGCCAACGATGCTTTAAGTACAACATTAAAAGGATTGAGAATTGAATACTGTAAAAAATGCCTGGACATAGTGTATTACATGAAATTGATTCTGTCAACTGACCATAAAGACCCATGTTCTTGGCAAAAGACTGCGACAGGACGATGTTGTGGCCCGCTTCGATGAAGTGACGAACTGCCCATGCGTCACGATTTATGTCTCCACTTGCAAAACCCTGGTATGCCATGTCAAAGAAGACGAGCAGGTTCCTTTTCTGAAAAATAAAAACAGCCTATGTTAATAACCAGTATGTACTTGAAAAAAAATACCACCTAGTACCTGATTTAGAATTAATGTCACTAGTTCTATAAAACTTGTGTTTTCAATGTTTCATAAGCATGTATTTATAGCATCTGTCACATCTTCAGAATAATTTTACAGAGAAAAGTGAACCACCTCACCCGGCCAATCAGCTCTCGGTATGTAAATAGAAGTTCTGATAAAATGTTACCAAGACTTTGTTTCGACCAAATATATTATATATTTTTTTAAATTTACACCAGCTTTAATATTACTTCTGCTTCCTTTCAATAACTATGCTGCATCATCAACCAAAGATAAATCATGCCCTTGGAGATTGATAAGCACATGAAGTACGTACTTTTACAACTTCAGAAATCTCTTTCCACTGTTCAGGCCGAGGGTCCACACCAGTGGGGTTGTGTGCACAGGCATGCAGCAGAATCACACTCTGCGCTGGGATTTTCTGAAACATGAAGTCCAAATGTGTGTTGAAAAGATCACACCGGAGCATGCAAATATGGATGAGGGATTGCACAGAACTAATCTAAATACCGGTTGTATTGGACATAACACATTTAACATAAAAACTTCAAACATAAAAACAGCAGTCTGGCTTACAGAAATGTCTTCAAGGGCCCCGTTGAAGTCAAAGCCACAGGTTGAAGGGTCGTAGTATCTGTATGCTTTGAGTTGCATCCCTGCATCTCTGAAAATGGGCGTGTGGTTTCCCCAAGAGGGTTTGGGCAAGTACACATCTTTTGGGCCTGGGTGAAATCGAGACTGAAAGAAAAATAATCAGTCAGCTTCACATTAGTTTATAAACAAAATTAACAGCACAAGAAACTAACCAAAAAGTTTGCTCCAATACGCAAGGACCCTGTTCCTGAAATGGTCTGCACAGTGATGTTCTGTGCACATGTAAATACAAAATTTGTATTATCTCTATGAAAATATACATTGTCATGTTCACTCAGGTTGTGTCAAACTTACCCTGCCGCTTTTCAGGACTTCATTGTCCGCACCAAGCGCCAGCTGGGCACAAGCCTTTGAGAACTCTGCCAGTCCACCTATGCCAAGGTATTCTTTATCCAGCTGTTTGCTGGCAATCAAGGCTTCAGCCTGAAGGACAAAAAAAATCCATGTTATTATTGTTATTATTGTAATTTTAAAAAAAATCTCCATTCTTAGTAAAACCTTGCGAACGCAGCTGAGCACAAAAGGTTTGCCTTGGTCATCTCTGTAAGCTCCCACACCCAGGTTCATTTTCTTTGGGCTAGTGTCCTTCTTAAACGCCTCTGTCACCCCCAGGATGGGATCAGGGGGGCCCATTGCCACACCACCCCACCAAGAACTGAAACAAAGACATACTTTACTTAAGGAAAAAACACAATCAAATTAAGTGAAATGCAACACTTTTTCCTCGCTCTGAAAGTAAATGAGCTTAACGACACATGTGACGAATTTCCAAAATTCCTGATCACGTGAAACACTCATGTTCAAGTTTTAATCCATCCCATCCAGGTTCAGAGTCTCACACAAAAGTTTAATCAATAATGCTGGCTACAGCTATTTCAGTGAAGAGTATTTGCCCTACATGGAAGTCTGTAGCAGTGATCAATACCAAATACAAATACGGTAGGATACATTGCACTAAAAACAAAAGGTTACACACAAATACAGTGATGAGGTTAAGTTAAACATACAGTTACAGAGGGACTGATGATTGTTTAATAAATGTGCTTTATTTATTAAATTGTAGCTAGAGTGAATCATTGTCGACATGTCCATGTCCAACATGAGTAGACCAAAACACAGGAGATTAAGAACACGAAATACCACTCTCTAAACTGAAACTTGAGTAGGTCATTGCCTAAATCATTCGCACATCTCAGTCGACTCAAATAAGTTTAAGTTTGTATCTTTCTAATCTTTTAAAAGATTTATTTTAAAATCTTCGTGGAATAGTAGTGTTTAAGAACAGTTTATTACTGTGACAATTCAAGTTTGTCCTCCAACTGGGCCCTGTAAGGACACAGCCTCTCCTCTCGCCTACCGCCGCACGACAGCCAATCAGCAGCCACAGGAGAAGCGGCTCAGCCAATCAGCGTCCACAATCACACCAAGTACGGGTCGCCCCATGGCTCAATTGTGCTGCAGTTATCGATGGGGTTATCGTAAATGCCAAATAGTTAAGACAGCGTAGTTACTGTACCAGGTTAAACGCATTACAAAACACAAAAACACATTTCAATGTTTATTTATTCAGTGTTCCAAGTGGGAACTCGCAGGGCGGAGAACAAAACTGATAATGTGCCACTCGTGACATTCATTAACTGTAAATTGCACACCTGAAAAGTGAAGTCTCAAGTAGCTCAGTGTGATTAACGAGTCTGCTATTGATTAATATATTAAACTAAGCGCTACTAGTATTCGTTACGGTTTAAAGGTTTTATGGCGTGACAGGAAACCACGCAGCAGCTCCCGCACTCTGCCATAGCTACTCGCTACAGCCAGAGATATCACTGAAATCTGAGCGGGATTTGTACCTTTGGCGGGCGGAGAGGACTCCCAGGGACGGGGCCAGGTTCCCCAGACTGGACATAAACCTGTTGGTGGTGAGCAGAGCCATGATTGCGGAGTCCCGGAGCAAAACGCAGAGTGAAGGAGGAGTGAAGGGATGAAGGGCACACGACCAGGGCAGAAGCGACGCAGTGACGCACGGACGTAAACCTCACGCACCACCTGTGTTTAATCACTCCTAATGACTTTAGGGTGATTATTGTGATAATGAATTCCCCTTTGTGTCGCTTTGAAAAATATCTATGAGTATGTATAAGTGCAGTTGAGGTGGAATCAGAAGAGCTGCATGCTACTACTACAGATACCAGCAGGATCGAGTGCAGTGAGGTGAGATGTCCACTTGAGGGCAGTGTTATACATGTAATTCTATGGTAATTGCATAGATAGTAAGACCATGCCTCGAGTATCTGTGGAACTTGTTAACTTCTGCTCTCAATATTGTACTACAGGGGTCTCCAAACCATTTTTTGGAGACTTGCTCATTCCTATAATATAGATAATTACCGTGGTAATAATTCAAAGTGAAAAAGTTGACATGAATTGATGACATTAATTTTGAAATATCACGACATAGGTTTACCACATTTATAATGATGGTACACACTACAGCTGATTAAATATCCCTTTGTCTGAATTATGAAGGAATGTTATTTTGATGTGTCGTGTGATGGTGGCCTTTTCTCAGCTGCATTGGAGCTGTGTCAACTGAGAGAAAACCTAGGGAAAGAAATAATCATGAGTAAATTTAGGCTAAATATTTTCTCCTCCACTCTTCCTTCCATAAATTGTCCAAACTATTACTTATTTTATCTGTTAACCGTTCCCATTAATGAATCGAGTCTGAGTACAGCTGGGCAGAAGCAAATTAACAGCAGAAATATAACCGGTCACTTCTCTTTTTCCTCTTGAGTTTTCATTCTGAGTTTATGTGTGTGAAGGAATCAGAGCAGAGCTAACACAGTTTCCTTTCTGGCAGCAGAAAGAGATTCTCAATGCTCCTATTTGTGCACCTGTTTGAAGTTGTGCAAATGACACAACACATTGTTATTGTGTGTGTGATGCTCATGTGGTGCCCGAAAGGGAGAGGCTGCAGTTGGAGAGATAGGGAGTTTAATTAAAGATGAATATGTGATTATTAATTGATGTAAGGCACAGCGGCTCATATAGTATAAGGTTCAAATGGGCGTGTGTAACTCATAAAGATGTCTTCATTAAAGTTAGCATGTTTTAAAAGCACAGGAAAGGAATGCTCTATTCACTGGGGCCAACAGAGAAGCTACTCTTGATCAGTTAGAAAGTTCAGAAAACAAATGACTGTGAAAAGTCTAAATAATGTATGTAAAAAGTCTTTGGTTGCCATGTATTCTCGGGCTGCTATGCAGATGTGTACAGTTTCCAGTAGGTTGCAGGATGAGCTCCCCTCCTTCATACGCTTCATGTGAAAAAAATAAAAAAATACACAGAAGACTTTAAGTGCATCCCTGTCTATAAAAAATGGAGCAGCTAAATCTTTTTTTCCATATAACACTATCTGCTGCCACCAGATTAGAGAAGGTGGAGAGTTCAGGCACTGGAGCAATCTTCAGTGTGGAGAAATAATTTTCCACCATTTGAGAGCAGTCTCTACACAAGTGAAGGATTTAAGAGTCAATTATAGTAATGGCCTTATAATCAAGTGCACAAGAACAGAGGGTATTGACGTTTATTCATATATCTTATGGAACAATACAAGTCTCTTCAAAAAACATGAATGAATAAAGTAATCTACTTCTGCTACAGGGGTCATGTTCAAATATACATATTTATTTGTTCCTGCATAGTTATAATGGATGAAAAGGATGTTAAAGTCTTAAAATTATGAAATGTTATAAGGGAAAGAAAAACAGCCTACAGTTTGTGCTTTAGGTAGTTCACTTTTTCTCTATAGCAGGGCATAGGGGTTACATGCACCAAGTTACACCAGGAGAAGATATTGAAGGACGACCGGAGGATCACAGTGTGGAATCCCGGCAGATGACGATCTCCAACTCAGTCCGGTACAGTTTGCCCTCGTCTGACAAAGCCATGATGCTTTTCTTGTAATCTGCCAGCTCCTTTGACGCCACAGCCTGTAGAAAAGGATGGTAAGGAGGATACAGAATCTCAACATAGTTTTGAAAATAATAATGATAATAATACATTGAATGCGTTAATAGCTGGCCATGGTAATTTGGCAACGGTAATATAATTTTACAATGTGAACTGCTGCATCTCTGGAATGGTTTGTTGAAGTTTGGTGACTACCCCTCGCACATTAGACTCAAGGCCAAAATCCCTGAGATTTTCTTCACAACTAAATCGCATTTGCAGTAATGATGCCTGATTCTCTTAGAAGCACCGCCAGAAAAATCAAATGTAAGGAGTGTATAGCTGTATGTTAATTTGTCTATAAATAGCCTTTGAAAAGTATCAAACAGAAGGACTATTCATTACCATTTTGTTCTTGTCACAGAGGTCTTTGAGCAAGGCGTCAAGCTCCTGCTCATCGATATACCCATTCCCATCCTGAATGAAGACAGGTGTTTGTTTATGACACTAAGGCCAAATTCATTAGAGTAACTTTCACTTGTCAATCCTTTACCTTGTCGTAAAATGTGAAGAGTGCATCAAATTCTTTCACTGAGATCCTGATGCCCTGAACAGAAAAAGAAGACATGTTGACAACTGAAGCGTTTCTCGAGTGCTATAAAGGCCCCGACAGCAGATCTAGACTTGATATTAATCCATGCAGATTATGATAACTGGGACTAGAGTTGAGTTAATCCCGATCAGACACCCTAATCCACAGTCAGAAAGGAATTGTTGATCTTCTCTCCCTGAGCTGAAATGTACATATGTCAACATACACACCGAATGCACACATATAGTGTCAAAATGTCAACCCGCATCCACTGGTATTTGCAAGGGTTTAATCACTCGTTCATATGTAACGACCTGTTACGTAATCCCATCATAATCCTATTCTATAGTATAGTATTCATCTTTCAAATTATATAACATTTATTCAATTTAATAAACCACTATCTGTCTTCTGTGAGTGTGATTTTTCTACCAACTTTGTGAAAAATTGTGTTAAATTGTCATGGAAGCCTTTGGTGGTCTTACCTCAAATTTTAGTAAGAAGTTTTCATTCACTGGCAAAAGTCTGAAAAGAACCAAACATTGTTAATTATGATTAATATGATTGTTATTGACTGCAGAGGAAAGAGATAAACCCACCTTGCCATTTCAGAGAGCCCTAGTTTTCCATCACCATTGAGATCAAACATCTTCAGCTAAAAGGAAAACAATTGGTATGTTTTGAGTATTTATTCATAAAAGGTGAACCCATAACCGATGGAGACACTGAAACAGGTGCAGTTGAATGTGTTGAGCCCCAGATGGTTGAGTGAGGCTTCGAGCCTCAGAACTGATGCCTCAGCGCAGCAGTTAACTGAAGGGTAAAGGCCACATTGATGTTGTTCAATCATGTTATTCAAATTCAAGTCTCCAGGGAAGCCATATTTACATTAAAGAGGTAGCAGAGAAATGCATAACATGTATGAGAAAGCCCCTCTAACATCTAATGCACGGGGTATTATTATGATGGAAATACTTACGATAGTATGTGTGTACTCGGTGAGCTTCTTGCCATCAAAGTTTCTGTTGGCCTTTTTCAGCAAATCTGACAGAAACCCCTAATGAAAGACAGCAAAGATGAACTACACCAACCTTTGGTTATATAACAGTACAGTAAGTTGTTCAGGATTGTGGGTCAAAAGCAGATTTGTGAGACCCTGGGTTTAATGCTGGGGCACACAAGGTCACTATGTTGGTTTTGGAAAGACGGCTGTTTTTCCTTTTTTTTTTTAAACACTTGTATCATTACCTCTCTTTGGTGTTGTAAGATACAGTAGTTAATAACTACACAATGTAAGGTTTCACTTGTATGATTCCATGGCAATATAAAGTTAAAACATAAAAGCATTTTAAACGGATTGGCATGTTTTATGTCAACCTGTGGCTTACAACATTTCTGAGGAAACCAGGAGAAGAACAACCTCTAGAACATGTACGAGTCAGATGTGTGATATTTTTATGAACGGAATTCAACGTCCATTTTGCAAAGAAACTCCATGATGAGCCGTACACAGATAACATAATAGTTTTGCTGGCTGTTAAAAGTTGTGATGCATTTGTCACCATATTTTTTGTTTTATTTATTTTCTAATGCACTTCAATAATCTGTTTACCTCCAGCTCATTAGACTCAATGTAACCACTCCGGTCAGTGTCATACCTCCTCCAGGCCTGTAGGAAAGGAACATAAACAACTGAAGTCACAACAGCACAAATAACACTGGCCTTATGTGTATCATCAAATAAACAAAGTACCCACACTTGTGTCATAACTACTACTACTGTAAATATAGTTTTGTCACAACACTTATCAAAGATTGATATCTAAGCTGCATAGAAAGCTGCAATCCATTCATAATGTATGGTGGACTGAGAATAGCTTTGAAGAGAACCGCAGAGAGCATGCAGTGTGGCTTATGTCCAATCACACAAGGCCAGATGTTCAAGACCCCCTCTTTGCCACTAAACTATTTTTTCATTTATGATTAAATTGTGTGGCTTTATGGCTGACGGTGTCATTAGGTCAAAGGACATTACGTGTTGAAAATATTCAGGCCATTAGGTGTAGTGCTTTTATGCCACATTTACCAAAGCAGAAAAGCTGCCTGTTCAGTTTCATGTTAACTGCAAACGGTTTGTTTTGCTGAATTAAATTTACAAGGTAAAATGTACCATCCCTATTCATAATTGACTCAGACTCAACTCTGCAAATATGCAGCAAATCCAATCGTATTTAGTAAAATACAAATGGACATTTGGTTTTATGCAATTGGCTGTGTACCTCATTTTTTGAATGTTTTTGCTTATATTTTTGTTATCAACTTCTATTTGAGATCAAGACAAACAGTGTATACTTCATGCTGATTAAATATGATATCATATAACACAAGCATCAAGAGGTTGAAATTATATTTTTGACAAATTTTCTAGTGTCCGGTCTCTGGAATTGTTATGCCATGTCTTTATTTCCCCAACTCTGCTTAAGTTATACTTTCTAAGAACAATTTGTCCAAAATGTGTTTATTGATGTTTGACTTTGGTATTGTATTCAAAAGCATGAATATTTTCACACTTACAGCCATGAACTGAGAGCTGGATCCGACAAACTCCCTGAAACACAGCAGGAAGTTTTCCTCTGTCGGCAGAAGCTGAGCCAACTGTAGAACAGGAACCAGAAGAACATTATCCATATTAATGACGGCAACTACGACTAATGCCAAACGAGTCTTACCTCGGACATCTCAATTTTTCCATCTGCGTTCTTGTCAAAGCTGGACATGAACTCGTTCATTTTCTCTCTGAATGTAGCATGTGATGGATCCTGGGGAATGATCGGTTAGGTAATCAATCGTATTACAAGTTATTACAATTGTATTAAATGAATTGTATCTAGTACTATATGTAAGGTTTCACTGACCACTCCTGCCCCTCGTCTGGCCAACTCCAACTCTCTGAAGAAACTTTCCAGCTCCTTTCCTTCGATATAACCATTCCCTGTCGAAGAGCAGAACAAAAAGTTATAATGTCATGATGTCACCTGGAGCATAATATTAAAGATAGGACAGATTAAAGGTTAATCAAAGTTTGTGCATCTAAAAAATCTTGTTCGACATATGCACATTTCTTAAGTTTACTGACAAGATCAAAACAAACATGTTGCTTGGAATTCTTTCAGAAAGAGTTAGCAGGATGATGTAAGAAAAGACCCTCGATTAAAATGAAAAACATGAAAGTAGTCTAATGAGTGTTTAGCAGCGCCGCCACAGTTCCACAGTTTTCTATGTAACTGTCACGTGACTAGGCATAGTTTATTTAAATAAATTCTCACCACAGTGTGTCTACTAAAATGAAAATGTTAAACCAAAAAATGAGTCCCATCTGTCTGCAGCTCAAGCGAGGCTGGGGTTCAAGCATTTTACAGGACTAAAATAGACCTTAATATTGTTATTTGAAGAATGGATACCACACAGATGTACAGAACAAAATGTTGAGCTTGGCTGGTTCCCTGTTCATCTCTTAATCTCTGATCCTCTCATCTCTTGTCCTCCAGTCAGACACACACACAGACATTGGCCAACGCACACACACACGCACAAACACATTTGCGAGTGCACACACACGCACGTGTACACACTCAAAGTGATTTTGATAGGTGCCCCATGTCGCCATCTGTGCTCTTTGAGTTGTCATTTCAGATACAAACTAAATACTGCCCTGTCCGACTGCCCACTTATCTCTGTAGCAGTATATTCTGGCTCATATTAACTTTATTGAGGACATGGATTCAGGCTATTACTCATGAAGCTTCCTTCATTTACGCTTTGGACTGGCACGGGGTTTAACGTTATCATATAGCCTTTTTAGTTCATACACATACAGTAGGTGTGAAATGTACTAGACCATAAATAAAGTCATTTGGGAGAAAGAAAAACAATCTTTACACTCAAAACTCAAACATTAGTTTAATGTAATCTCATTCTTGAACATACAGTAGGCCTATGTTTCAAATCCTCCATCTTTATTTTCAACATTTGCTCATAGCTCAGCGGCTGTTTGATAAGTCGTAATTTAAACAATGAATGTGTCAGTCACTCAACAATGCCAAAGGCAAGAAAACAATGTGGAAAAAGAGGCACAGTGTTGGATGTATTACATCATCACATTTTACAGTAGACAAAGTATTGACACTGTAATCAGTTATCATGTGGTTTTATTGAGAGAATGTGGCTTTTAATAGAGTGGCTAATGAAGGGTCTTTCAGCAAGTCACTACAGGACCACAGCTGAGGTCAGAGCTCTGCCCACTGCTACACACTGAAATGTCCTAAGCAATTCATCACTAAAACTTCTTATAAGCAAAACCTGAAGGGAGCTGTTTTCATTTACATGAGCCAGTTAGTCCAAGAGACCTCATAATTAACCCACATCTAAAACTTGTCCTGCAGTTGTCTGGTGCACCTGTGTAGTGTATTTATCACCCAAAATAAACCATACACATGAAATATCATTTCAACAGCAAATCTGAATTGGCTGGATGGGAAGAAATATAACTCTTATCTCTGATGTATCATTATAAATGTTCAGGCAACAGAACGTTCAATAAAAAAAAACTATAATTCTAAAGCCAACAAATACACTGCGCAAAAAAAAAAAAAAACACACATTCACAATTATATGTATGTATGTATGCATGTATATATACAGTATATTGTCAGGAATAAAACATTATGTATTTATGTATATGTATACTGTCAGAAATAACTCAAAGACACAGATGCATATGATGTACTGATTTTACAAATATTTTTCCTTTGACAGCAACTGACTTCCCCAAAGTTATTTGTATCATGAAGGAAGAATCCGATTGGAGCTCGAACAAGCTCCATGCGTGGGAATCTCAAGCCATATCAGGTGATGGCAACAACCTAGCAACCAAAAAGCCAATCAGGAGTGAGCTGGTCTGTTCCCACTTGTACTACATGCTGGCTAACACCAGATTTGGGGGGAGAAGGCTCTTTATTGGACAATTTTTTACTAAGTTTACAAAACAATTTCAAAACAAAAACATCAAGATCATGTAAACAGGTAAAACCATAGATTTTATGATGAAAATAATGAGTGTGACACAAACAGGGGTCTTGCAGAGAGATAACATTGTGATAATTCAGAAAAATTGTAAACGTTTTTTTGCACATGGAAAAAAAAGCCCAAAAATGTCATAGAGCAGTGTCAAAACATGCTTGTCTTAAATATGAACAGTGGAATAATGCCGGATGCAGAGGCCTAATGTCGAACGTGAATTGCGTGCATGTGGCAGGAATGGGCATGTGTACAAAGGCTTTAAATGATTTTTTCTGGGCTTATGAGTCCATGTGAACCAATCAATGTGAAATAAAAACTGATACTCCTGGAGCACCTGAAGCACTTTTTTACTGAGACTATGGCAGCACAAATGTTGAGCCTAAGTCATACATTTGTGTTTGTAGTTCATGTAGGGTGTTATTTTTTATGATAAAACAAAAAAATATTGCATTTGTTCATCTTCTTCCCCATTGTCCATTTCTGGGTCGGGGTGTACATTGTCACCCAATTCACAGAACGCCAGCTCATCACTGATCCCCCTGCAGGTGCCGAGTCCACAGGAGGATGGCTGCTCTGCTCTGAGTGGCCTTGATCTTTCAGTGGGGGCTTCATCCAGAGTGGGGTAAAGTGTCTTGCCCAAGGACACAATGACAGCAGACAATGCTCTACCAACTGAGTCTCTGTCAATTATTTTTCCAGAATGAGTTCGAGGTAAGGTGTTTTATGATGTCACTCTTTTTAATCTTACTTTTCTTATTTTGAGACAGTTTTTCAATATTCTTCCCTTGCATCAATCTGCAAATGACCGGTTGCGGGGTGGTGTATGTGTGGATTACGTTTGCCATACAAAGTTTGAGAAGCAATATACACCAAGCCTTAATGAGCCACTCGGAAAGACAAATAAACTAAATCTAAAAATTGCCTCATTAATATGCATATTCATAGTGACTGCACTTTCACAGAGCTTTATGTTTCTCGGTATCCCGCTTCTTTGACCCTATCTGGGTATCAGAGCTGCGCCAAAATTGCGCCATGGATGTAGGCTTCACGTGCAGGAAAAGACGTCTATCAAGATTAAACAGTTGTTTGTAAATGTGTATTGTTGAGTTAAACCGTTGAATACTAGAGCTCCACCAATATTGCCAAATTGACCCAAAAACCCCCAAAACGAATTAAAAGAGCTCGTAGAGCGCAAGCCTCTCTCAAGAGGCGCGTTCCATCCACAACAAATAAAACTGTATACTGTGATCTGGGTCCCCTCAGAAATACCCTCTAAAGATTCTCTGAAAATATCATAAAAACCTGGCCCAGGACAGAAAGCAGTGTGACTAACATATTTTCTTTTGTACAGCTAATGGTTTTGTAGATTTTCACTGATCGATACATATACCATCCATAACTGTGTAGGTTATCTAACCAACAGGCGAACAAACAAACAAAAAACCCCAAAGGAAAACATGACTTCCTAGTGGAGGTACTAGAAATAGAAAAGTTAAACACACCATCAGAGTCGTAATGTTTCCAGATGTCAATGAATTGCGAGGCGGTGATCTCTGCCAGGTGCAGGTGTGGAGGCGGCTGGGCATGAGTGGCCATCTCTGGGGTGCTCTGATCCTTTGCTGTTGAGGGAGGGGAACTTTCCGTGCGTTCAGCTCCGTCTTACTGACTGTGTGCATCCTCTCTTCTGTCGGAGCTTTTAAACCCCCCGCGGGGCCCGCTGTTCCTGCTCTGCACCGACAGGGGGCTCCACTACTCCAGCACCAGACCAATTACCGTGAGAGTGCGTGGGGGGTGTGGACTATGGGGCGGGGTTAATATATTTACAGTTAATATATTATCTTCATTCATCTTTCGGAATGAAGATGATTTTTATATAATGATATATAATGTAAGTTGTTTCTCAGGGATGAACCCATTACCGTTAACATGCGGTGAAAGATTCATGATTCATGAAAGAAGAACATGATGTGGCTGCATTTCAATACAAAAATAGCTAAAAAATAAATAAATATAGATAAATAGCTAAAATGTGGTCATAATCTCTGCTACAGTCAGCAGTATCAGGACAGGGGCTCTCACTTAAAATGAACACTGTCCCACTTGAGTATTGTCCTGAGTATTTTCAAACAAACAGCAAATAAATACAAACAAATGACAGCTTCATTCTCTGTCATTAGAATCAGTCTAAAGTTGATGCAGGGAAGAACTGATGGCCCACATGCATCTAAGCCATTCAATTATTTAATGCACTAATTACTCCAAATCAACATTCCAAAATAGACTATCGATCTCTCTGAACAGTGGCTCCACTGGTGCTGAGTCATGAGACAGCTACTATAACGGATGTGTAATAATGTTTAGGACAATTGTTATTTTTATCAGTGCTAATTATTAAAGCTATGCTTTCCCCTGCTTTTCCTGGTCTGGTGATGGCTCCCTGGCCAATCAAAGCAGTAATGGGCATAAATCCACCAGCCAGCAGTGACCGGACAATCACATATCACCAGAATGCCCTTTGTTCACTCTGTGAATGCATCCTCCTCTTTCAGCTCTCTCCTCAGCATAGACTACATATCATTCCTCATGAGGTCCATAAAATGTTAGATTGGTAAAAACCTAAAGGCAAATGTGTTGGATACAATGGTAAAATTACTGTTACAGTTAATTTTATTGGAAAAGATAATTATACATCAAAAACATTTTCATCCCATTATTTGCAGACATTTGTCTGCAGTAAGCAGACAAATGTCTTTTTTTTTTAGGAGATTATTTGGATTTGAATCTGCAGCTGCATATCTGTTAAATTAAGGTAAGAGAATCTTTATTCATCTCACGGTCAGACATTTTTAGGGTTGCAGCACACATTATAGAATAAAAATAGCACAATAACAAACCTAAAAGATTTTTAGAAATCATGTGATATTTAGAGAATAACACAAATCTTTTCTGCTTAATGATCAATGTTGAAGTATAACACTGTAATTACACCTGGCCTTAAAAATAAGGCTGCAATTAGCAGTAGAGAGTAATATTTACAGTGGCGGCCATTTATGTATTAGCAGGATAAAAAAATAAAGACAGAATAAATGGATGAAGAAACTGATGAATGTACAGAGTCAGCCCAAATTGTGCAGAAAGGCAAGACTTGGGGAACCTCTCCTTCACAGATCAGTCACTGAAGCTGCTCTCTGGATCAGACACCGCCTCCTGAAGGGTCAGGGTCCATGATGTTTAGCCAGGACTCTCTTTCCCCCCATCTGATACACTACAGAGCTATATGTTCCTGTTTTAAAGAAAAATGTGTGAGTGCTGAGTGTATGTGCACTGAACAAATCCTACAAAAGAGAATTGTCACAGGGAAAGTGAAAGGGGATTTTCTATAGGGATGGTATAAACCATATGAATAATAATGAGAGTATTTATAGCCCAGAGATGAGAGCATTAGGCATTCAAAGTCGTGCTTCTCAAGTTGAACAACTATATTTTAAGCTGTTGACACTGACAGAGCAAGAATAAAACATTTTATAATTCCATTCCATCCCATTCCATTTTCTTCCACTTCATCCTTTGCCGGGTCGCAGAGGCGGCAGTCTTGGTAGAGACGCCCAGACTTTCCTATCCACACACACTTCCTCCAGCTCACCCTGGGGAAGCCCAAGGCGTTCCAAGGCCAGCTGAGAGACGTAGTCCCTCCAGCGTGTCCTGGGTCTTCCCCGGGGCGTCCAGAACAGATGCCTGAGCCACCTCAACTAGCTCCACTTGACGTTCCGTAACGATGATTGACTGGTACATCGAGAGCTTTGCCTTTTCGGCTCACCACAGTGGTCTGGTACAGCGATCGCATCACTGCGCACGCTGCACTGATCCGCCTGTCAATCTCACGCTACATCCTTCCCTCACTCGTGAACAAGACCCCGAGATACTTGAACTCCTCCACTTGAGGAAGGACCACTGCACCCACCCGGAGAGAGCAAGGCACCTTTTTCCAGTCGAGCACCATGGCCTCGGAATTGGAGATGCTGATCCCCATCCAAGCCACTTCACACTCGGCTTCAAACCGTCCCAGCGCATGCTGCAGGTCCTGGTTCGTTGGAGCCAACAGGACAACATCATCGGCAAACAGCAGAGATGGAATCCTGTGGACTCCGAATCGGCCCCCCTCTGGCCTCTGGCTGTGCCTTGAAATTCTGTCCGCGGCACGGTGGCTGAGTGGATAGCACTCTTGCCTCTCCTGGGTTTGAATCCCGATCGGAGCAGGGCCTTTCTGAGTGGAGTTTGCCTGTTCTCCCCGTGTCTGCGTAGGTTTCCTCCGGGTACTCCGGTTTCCCCTACCACTAAAAATATGTACAATAGCTCTGGCATGCGGCTCCTGTACTGACGACCCTGCTCCCATCTGTGTGTGAAGTGAGAGACAAATGCCCAAAAAATTATAATTGTAAACCGCATTGTGACTCTGGTCTGTGACAGGCGGTATATAAATAAAGATTACTTACTTACTTACTGTATATACAGTGGGTTGAAAAACTGGGAAGCTTGAAGCTTATACACCCACAATATTTTGTGTATTGGTCACCAAACAGCATCACTGTGACCTGAAGTGCTATTTCTTACTATTACTAAACAATTGTTTGCTTTTTAGAATGATCAAATTATTTATTTTGTTTGTGTGGATGGAACACCTGAATTTCTCCTACAGGGATCAATAAAGTATCTAACTAACTAACAGAGTCCAAGAAACCCACCGAAAGGTCAGGGATGGGGTTGGGATAAATATCAAAGCAACCTTAATCATACAAAGATTTCCCAACCATTGAACAATTCATGGACCATTGTTAAATCCCTTCATCCATTTTCTATCTCTTCATCCATTGCCAGGTCGCAAGAGCAACAGTCTAAGCAGAGACGGCCAGACTTCCCTATCCACACACAGCTGAGAGACAAAGTCCCTCCAGCGTGTCCTGGGTCTTCCCCAAGGTCTCCTCCAGGAGGCAACCGGAACAGATGCTCGAGCCACCTCAACTGGTTACTCTTGATGTGGAGAAGCAGTTCCTCCCGTGTGACTGAGCTCCTCACCCTATCTCTAAGGGAGTGCCCAGCCACTCTGCGGAGGAAGCTCATTTCGACTGCTTGTATCCACGATCTCGTCCTTTCAGTTATTACCCAAAGCCCAGGACCCTAGGTGAGGGAGGGAACGAAGATTCAGTGATAAATCGAGAGCTTTGCCTTTCGGCTCAGCTCCCTCTTCACCACAACGGTCCAATACAGCGACCGCATCACTGCACTGATCCGCCTGTTAATCTCACGCTCCATCCTTCCCTCACTCGTGAACAAGACCCCGAGATACTTGAACTCCACTTGAAGGAAGGACCACTCCACCCACCTGGAGAGGGCATCTTTTTCCGGACGAGCCCCATGGCCTAGGTTCTCATGCTGATTCTCATCCCAGCCGCTTCCCACTTGGCTGCTGACCGTCCCGGTGCATGTTGCAGGTCCTGGTTTGTTGGAGCCAACAGCACAACATTGTTCACAAAACAGCAGCGATGAAATGCTTTGGTCTCCAAACCGGACCCCATTGGGCCCCTGGCTGCCCCGGAAAATTCTGTTTAAAAATACAGTGAACAAAACCGGTGACAAAGGGCAGCCTTGGTGGAGGCAAACGTGCACTGGAAACAGGTATGACTATGATAGGCTTGGGTTTCTCCGTACTCCCAGAGAACCACGAAAGGACACACTAGGGAACAGGGTCAAAGTCTTTCTCCAAATCTACAAAGCACATGTGGACAGGTTGGGCAAACTCCCGGAAATATGTAAATATTTAGAAATCCGTTATTCCAAAAATGGAATGAGTAGGGCACCACTGCAAACTTACCACGCATGAGCGCAAATATGTAATCATGAGCCCCAGGATGACTCTGGAGGAGCTGTGACCTTCTGCAGTTGAGCTGGGGGAATCTGTACATGGGGTGTGTAGTTGTACTTTAAACATGTCATTGGAATGTTTTTTAAGTAATCATTTGAATGTAGTAATATGTAATTCAAGTAATATGTGGCTAAAATATATTGTATTCACTGTTGGCTCCAGCCAGTCTCCTGGGCTACGGGGGTTGTATGCCGATGGGACCAGGCTAGGCCTGGTAAGAATGCTACTGTTTCTTTGATTGATGTGCTAGATACCAAAGTGTGGAAGTGGAGGTGTGTCTTATCTCCTTGAATACTGCCTTACAGCCTGACTATGGTCAGATCTGTCCTGAGAGAGGCTGAGCTAGTTTGCCCAGTCTCTGTCAAGACATGTTCTCCTTGTACTCGCATCTTTTTTGCGATGCCGAGTACAATTACAAAATATGGAAGAGGAGGCTATGGTCAACGCCAAGGAACCGGCTCACTACAGACCAGTCGCACTGACCTCCACCTGATGAAGACCATGGAGCGGCTCATCCTCACCCATCTCTGCTCCATGGTCAGCCCCACCCTGGACCCGCTGCAGTTCGCCTACATGCCCAACATCGGAGTAGAGGACGCCGTTATCTACTTACTGCAGCGGACGCTCTCCCACCTGGAGCCCGCCGGGAGCGCTGTGAGGGTCATGTTTTTTTACT